CCAGCCCCGGTTGGGGTAATGTGGGTGGCAGCCAGTTGATGTGAGATGTTGGTCTCAAATCGATGTTTCTCTCTCTCTCCCTCCCTCTTTCCCTCTTGCTTAAAAAAAAAACAAAAAAAACAAAAACACATTAAACTGATCATATAAATGCTAAAAAAAAAAATACATTTTTATCCCTGGCCTGTTTGGCTCAGCGGTCAGAGCATCAGCCCATGGACCAAAGAGTCACAGGTTTCATTCCACTCAAGGGCGCCTACATTGGTTGTAGTTTGGTACCTGGCTCCGGTCAGGGTCCTGAGAAGGCAGCCAAACAATGTATCTCTCACACATCACTGTTTCTCTCCTTCTCTCTCTCCTCACCCCTCCCACTCTATCTAAAGACAAATGGAAAAATATCATCGAGTGAGGATTTAAAATAAATTTTAGCCCTGGCCAGTTTGGCTCAGCAGTTGAGCGTCAGCCTGTGGACCAGAGAGTCCCGGGTTTGGCCCCTGCTAGGGGCAGGTACCACAAAAGAAAAAAGAAAAAAAGTGAAGGTCAGTGCTTACAGCTCTTTAAAATAAATAAATAAATGAATGAAATAAAGTAAATTTTAGCCCTGGCCAGTTTTCTCAGTGGTTAGAGCATCAGCCTGCGGTCCAGAAAGACCCGGGTTCGGTTCCCACTAAGGGCATATACCTCGGTTGCAGTTTGTCCCCGGCCCTGGTTGGGTCATGTGGGAGGCAGCCACTTGATGTGTCCCTTTCACGTCAATGTTTCTCTCTCTCTCTCCCCCCATCCCACTCTATCTGAACAAAATATGAAAAAATGTCCTCGGGTGGGATAAATAAATAAATAAATAAATAAAATTTAAAATGTATGTTTTTAGCCTTGGCCAGTTTGGCTCAGTGGTTAGAGTTCCAGCCTATGGGCCAGCGAGTCCTGGGTTCGATTCCAACCAAATGCACGTACCTTGGTTGCAGTTTGTCCCCGGCCCTGGTTGGGGTTGTGTGGGTGGCAAGCAATCAATATGTTTCTCTCACATTGATGTTTCTTTCTCTCTCTCTCTCTCTCTCTCTCTCCCCCCCTCCCTTCCTCCCTCCCCCTCTGTCTGAAGATAAAGGTAAAAATATCCTCTGGTGAGGATTTAAAAAAAAGTTTTTATTGCCCTGGCCAGTTTGGCTCAGCGGTTAGAGCATCGGCCTGCGGTCCGGAGAGACCCGGGTTCGGTTCCCGCTAAGGGCACGTACTTCGGTTGCAGTTTGTCCCCGGCCCTGGTTGGTCGTGCGGATGGCAGCCACTCGATGTGTCCCTTCACATCTATTTTTCTCTCTCTCCCTCCCTTCCTCTCTCTCCCTCCCACTCTGTCTGTACAAAAAATGGAAAAATATCCTTGGGTGAGGATAAAAAAAAAAAAGTTTTTATTGATTTCAGGGAGAGGAATGGAGAGGGAGAGAGAGAGAGAATCAGCGATGATGAGGGAAACATTGATTGAATGCCCCCTGCATGCCCAAAACCCAGGCATCTGCCCTGACAAGAATGTAAATGGGACCTCCTGGTACATAGATCAATACTCAACCCCTGAGCCACACTGGCTGGGCACATCATCATTTTTTTTTTTGCAATTTTTATTAATTTATTTTTGTTTCATATGTTTCTCCTTTTTCCTGCCTAGCCACCCTCATCCTATTCCCACTCCCCTACTCCCAGCATTGGTGTCTATGTACACTGGTTACGCATACATGCATATAAGTCTTTGGTTTATTTCATACCTCCTCACTGACCTCCTCATCTGAGGTTTGTCAGTCTGTACCATACTTTCTATGTCTCTAGGTCTGTTTTGTTCTTTAGCTTATTCTGTTCATTATATTCCACAAATAAGTGAGATCATGTGGTATTTGTCTTTCTCTGATTGGCTTATCACTTAGAATAATGCTCTCCAGGTTCCTCCATGTCATCTCAAAGGATAACAGATCTTTCTTTCTTACAGCTGCATAGTGTTTCATTGTGTATATGTAGCACAGCTTTTTTATCCACTCATCTATTGATGGACACTTGGGCTGTTTCCAGATCTTAGCAATTGTAAATAGTGCTGCTCTGAACATAGGGGTACATATATTCTGTCTGATTGGTATTTCAGGCTTTGTAGGATATATTGCTAAAAGTGGGATCACTGGGTGAAATGGCAGTTCAATTTTTAATTTTTTGAGGAAACACTATATTATTTTCCATAGTGGCTGCACCGGTCTGCATTCCTTCTAGCAGTATACTAGACTCCCCCTTTCTCCACACCCTGGCCAGCACTTGTTGTTTGATGATTTGTCGATGGTGGTCATTCTGGCAGGTGTGAGGTGATACCTAATAGTTGTTTTAATTTGCATCTCTCTGATGATTAGTGACGTTGAGCATTTTTTCATGTCTCTTGGCCATTTAATGTCATTTTTGGAGAGGTGTCTATTTCGGTCCTGTGCCCATTTTAATTGGATTATTTGTCTTCCTTGTACTGAGTTGTTGGATTTCTTTGTATATTTTGGAAATAAACACCAGCTTTTTTTTCCTTACTGTTTGCTTGGAAGATTTTTTCCCATTGCTTCACTTTCAACATATGTGAGTTCTTTTGTTGTGAGGTGGGTCATATTTTTCTTCCAATTTCTTCTACTAATAACAGCAATCCTTTTACCATGTTTTGCAATGCTGGTTTGGTGCTAATCTATTTCCTTAGCTTTTTTTTTTTTGTCTTGGAAGCTCTTTATTTCACCTTCTATTTTGAATGATAACCTTGCCAGATAGAGTCACCTTGGATTCTGATTCTTGTTTTTCATTACCTTGATTACTTCATGCCATTTCCTTCTGGCCTGTAATGTTTCTGTTGAGAAGTCAGCTGATTGCCCTAGGGGAAACCTTTGTAGGTAATCTGTTGCTTATCTCTTGCTGCCTTTAGAATTCTGTCTTTGTCTTTAATTTTGGGAATTTTATTTATTATGTGTCTTTGTGTGTGCCTGCTTGGGTTCTATTTACTTGGGGCTCTCTGTGCTTTTTGAACTTGAACGCCTTTTTCTTTCAGCAAGTTCAGGGAGTTTTCTGTCACTATTTTCTTCAACTATGTTCTCTAACTCTTGCTCATTTTCTTCTCCTTCTGGAACTCCTGTGATGTGGATGTTGTTATGTTTCAAGTTGTAACCTGTCTTCCTGTTTTTTAATTGTTTTTTCTTTTTGGCTCTCTGATTGGGATTTTTTTCTGTCCTGTCTTCTAATTCGCTGATCCGGCCCTCAGCTTCCTCTGCTCTGCTGGTTATTCCTTCCAATGTGTTTTTCATTTCTGCTATGTCATTCTTCATTTCCAATTGGTTGGTTTTCAGTGTTTCTATATCTTTATTCATGCTGTTGAGCTCTATTCATGCTATTGAGCTTCCTCATTATCATCGCTTTGAACTCTACCTCTGATAACTTGCTTAAGTACATTTCATTTATCTCTTCTTCACTAGAGTTCTCTTGTTCTTTCATTTGGGATTTGTTTCTTTGTTTCACCATTTTGGCTATCTCAGTCAGTTTTGGAGCCTGCCAAATTTTTCCTGTGGATGTTGGTGTTCTGCTGATTATGGTTCCCTCTACTAGGTTTGGATGAGTATGGGAGGACCCACATTATTTTACTTTTTATTTTTTTGGTACGTGCTCCTAGCAGGAACCAAACCCAGGACTCTGTGGTCCACAGTCCGATGCTCCAAATGCTGAGCCAAACCGGGCAGGGCTGGGAGGACCCATATTAAACACCACTGTCATGGTTTACTTTCCTGGGTAGATTTCCAAGTTAGAGTAAGAGGATTTCCAGAGGATGGGGCAGATGCTCGCTGGCTGTTAATGAGCCTCAATTTGCATTTCTCTGGTTTGGCCTGGTGGTGTTAAATTCCTGAGGGAGGGTCTGTTGCTTCTTTCAGGGGCTCTGGGAAGCGACTCTTTGAGTAAGATGGCTAGTGTTCTGTGAGGGAGTGATTCAGCAAAAAACTCCCATTGCCCTCCCAGCTCCTCAATCTCCCGAGTGTCCACTTAGCTCCAGTCCATTTCGCCCTCCATCTGCTGGAGCCCAAGGTGAGTTGCAGTAGCTAATTTAGTGCCCTGTCTGGCCCTCTGTGCTGTGGTGCTGGTTTGGGATTTTAACCCCAAGGGAGCTGCTCACAGCTAAAACAGCTGCTGTCCATGGGCTCCCAGCCCGCCCTCTTGTGCCTCCGCAGCTCCTACCCAGCTTGATTTAGTGTCCTTTTTCTGTCCCTGGTTGTATGGGTCCTCTCTAGCTGCTTTTCTGTTGCTTTTTCCCAACGATTTGTCTTTATTTTAGTTGTAATTCCAGTTTGGTCCTGGGAGATCTGTGTAGCTTCCATTCACTCCGTCGCCATTTTGAAATCCCATTTCATTCTTTTATTTATTTATTTTTATCCTCACTCGAGGACATTTTTGCACTTTATTTTGAGAGAGAGAAACATTGATATGAAAGAGATACATTGAGTGGTTGCCACCCACACAACCCCCACTAGGGGCTTGGGACAAACTGCAACCGAGGTACATGCCCTTAGTGGGAACTGAACCTGGGCCTCTCTGGTCCACGGGCCGAAGCTCTAACCACTGAGCACCGGCAGGGCCCACTTCATTCATTTTTATTGTCAAATAATATTCTACTGTATGTATGTACATAGTTTCTGGGTTGACACATATTTTCAGTTCTCTTGGATGTATACCTGGGCGTAGAACTCCAGGGTCATAATACAACTCCATGCTTAACATTTGGAGGATCTGCCATTCTGTGTTCCTATCAGTAGTGTGTGAGGCCTCCAGCTTTTCTGTATTGTCACCAACAGGTGTTACAATCTCTCTTAGATGACAGCCTTCCTAGTGCACATGGTTCACATCCTGTTATGTGAGATAGTATCTCATGTGGTTTTATTTTGCACTTTCCAGGAGGCTAATGATGTTGAACATCTTTTCATCTGCTTTATGGTCATATGTCTCCCTCTGCTTTTGACTTCCAGGGCGTCCTAACGCTCATTTGGACCCTCCATTGGATCCTCTTCCTGCTGGGGAGCCTCTGATGGAGATTGAAGTTGTTGAAGTCCTCACACTCAACAAGGAAGTAGCTCGTTCCCGGAACGCCCAGATCCGGGCCCTCTATGCTGAAGATGAGGGCCTGAGCCCAGAGGTCCTCGGGGAGCCCGCTCAACCACCAGGCAGCCTTCCAGCTGACCCTGAGGCTGCACGCCAGAGGTTCCGGGGGTTCCGCTTTGAGGAGGTGGCAGGGCCCCGAGAGGCCCTGGCCCAGCTCCGTGATCTCTGCCGCCAGTGGCTGAGGCCCGAGATACACTCTAAGGAGCAGATGCTAGAGGCGCTGGTGCTGGAGCAATTTCTGGGTGTGCTACCAGGGAAGCTCCAGGTGTGGGTAGAGTCACAGCACCCAGAGGACTGCCAGGAGGCAGTGGCCCTTGTGGAGGATGTGACCTGGATATCCAAGGAGGAAGGTGGGTGCAGAAGGGTGGGAAGGTGGACACTCCTAATGGGGTATCTTGAAGGATGGGGTTGGGGTCCTGCCCACTTCATCTATGCTGAGGGCACCTGCCTCCCACGTGTTCCTGCATCAGAGCTTGAGATGCTTCCTTGCTGTTGCTTCTAGATCAAGGGCTTTGAGAATGGCCTCCTCCCTGGACCCATGTATGGAAATAGGTCTCAGGCCCCACTTCACAGCTACGGAAACTCTTGGTGGGGCCTGGCACCACATTGTACAAGGAGCTCTCCATCTACAGGTTTCTCATGGAAGGTCTTGGGTAAAGTGCTTCATGGTCATCCCTTTAGGACCCTGCACCACGATCCAGTAGGAACCTTGTTGTCAGTCACACAGGTGTATTCCTGGGGTTCCTTCTAATGTCACCCATGTGGTGGGGGTTATGGGTATAGTGGTGACCAGGACATGCAGGACTCATGAGCTCAATAAGCCTTTATTAATTAATTTATTTTTTAATCCTCACCAGAGGATATTTTCCATTGCTTTTTAGAGAGAGGGGAAGGAAAGGAGGGAGAGAGAGAGACATCAATGTGAGAGACACATCAATTGGTTGCCTCCTGCATGACCCCAACTGGGGCTGGGATTGAACCTGCAACCCAGGTACATGACCTTGACTGGAATTGAACCTGAGGCACTGCGGTTCGAGGGCCAACGCTCTAACCACTGAACCAAACCGGCCAGGGCTCAACAAGCCTTTAATTTAGGAGCAAAGACAGAAATTTGATAAATGAATGTGTGTATGAGATGGGTGGGGTTAAGAGGAACTCAGTGGGGCTGGCAGTGGGGCTTGTGGAAGCCAAGTTGCTGTAGCTGACAACTGAGAAGGAGCAGAGCTGAGAGGCAGGAAGATGGATGTGTTGGGCAGGGGAGCATGCCCTGTGCAGGGCCAGGATGGAAGCTGTCACAGTATCTTCCAGAATCAGAGAGATGGGGTAGGTCTGTCCAGAAGGAAGCACAAGGCGGACTGGCAGAGCCCTTGGGAAGTGTTACTGTAGCACAGCAGGAACAGACCCCTGAGTTCCAGGGGTAGGCAGCAGGATCTGGTGGAACTTTCTAGATTTCCCAGGTTGCAGCATGCTGTGGCTGGTGGGCCAATAGGTTGCATTTTTTTGTTAATTTATTGATTCTTTAGAGAGAGAGAGCACACATCATTGCCTTGTTATTCATTCCACTTATTTATGAATTCATTGGTTGATTTTTTTTTTTTTCACTCCTCACTTGACATGTTTCCACTGACTTTTTTACAGAGAGGGAGAGAGAGAAACGTCGATCGGTTGCCTCATGCACGTACCCTGACCAGTGATCAAACTTGAAACCTAGGTATGTACCCTGACCAGGGATTGAACCCACAACTTTGGTGTATAGAAACGGCACTCTAACCAACTGAGCTATTTGGTTAGGAGGGATGGGTTCCATTTGGGAGCCAGGTCTGAGACTTGCTTGCTTTTGGGCCAAGTTCTGCGGAGCTCAGACTTTTTTGCTCACCTCCATGACCCACACAGCATGTGATGGGTGTCTAGAAGATAGTTCTTGAGCAAATGAATGATTTACTGACTTTTGTGATTGGGGGTGGGAGAACCCAATGGTGGAGGGTGGAATTCAGAGATCAGGGTTTCCTGGAGAAGCCAGTGTCGAGGGAGTGGGGTCAGCAGCAGCACCAGCTGTCTGCTTCTCTGTACTGAGCCTGGGTTGTCTGCATCCTCATCCCTTGAACCTGTCTGTTACCTCACTTGGCCAAATACCTTTACAGGTGTGATTAAATTAAGGATCGTGAGTTGGGGGGTTGTCCTGGGCTACCTGGGTGGACCCAGTGTTGTCACAGGGTTCTTGCAAGAGACAAGCAGAGAAGCTTTGACGATGGGACCCAAGGTGATGCTGGGGAGCAGAGGGTTTCAGGCAGCCTCTAGAAACAGGGAAGGGCCTGGAACAAGTCCTCCCCTAGAGCCTCCAGAAGGAACAGAGTCATGCCAACACCTTACTTTCAGCTCTGTGAGGCTGTGTCAGACCTGTAAAGTGGCAAATTTGTGTTGTTTTGTGTCGCTTTTGTGCCAACTTGTCACAACACTAATAGACCGCTCCTAAGATGAAAATTGGTGAGTCCATCTGGTGTGTAACACCTTGGGGGAGGGGGTGGTGAGTGAATTTGATTAGTGTCACAGAGGACAGGAAGAGGCCTTCCAGAGAACCCTGAGAATCCTGTGTTTGTGGTCAGCATGTCAGCTGGAACTTTAGGGTGTAACTGCCACACAAAGCCTTGCCCAGAACAGCCCAGGGAGAAGGAGAATGTATTGAAAATGTCCCAGGGTGCACTAGCTTCATGCATGGCTGGACCCAGAGGTTCCAATAGTGTCCCCCAGACTCATCCTCTCTCTCTCTGTCCTGCTGCTTCTGGCCTCACTCACAGGCAGGCTGTCTCCATGTGGCATTTTTGTAAATGTTCCCCCAGAAGCCTCTTTGGCTCTGATTGGCCCTGTGTTCATCCATGATGCAGTCCTTGTGGTCAGGAGGAAGCAATGGCCTGGTGGGCCAGCCTGGGTCACGTCGGGTGTGCCCCTTGATAATGAGGGTGGACTCATCATTAATGGAAACTCATGGACCATGCTGGGACATGTGAGGAAACTCTGGATTGAGAGGGGCCGTGAGGCCAAAAGGGCTGTTTCCTGAAGTGGAGACTTGGTAGAAGTCACATCAAGATGGGTGTGTTGGGAGAGTGGTTCTGGTCCTGGGGGCCAGAGGAAGTCCCACCCTCTGCATGGTGACAGGAGGGGGTTAACAACTTGGAGGCCAGAAATGGGGTCTTTGCTCTGAGGAGGCCCCACCGGTCCCAGAGACATGGGCTGTCCTTGCATTGATGATACCTGGCTGACCCTTTGTGCTAATGTCTCCTCGCAGCATCATCTGTCCTGGACCCCACCTGCTCTCTGGAGACCACAGCTCTGCAGGAGGAAAAGGAGGAGAACAAGACCACCTGCCCAGCAAAGGTACTGCCTGAGGTGAGTGGGGATGTCACCCTTTCCTTTTCTGGTCACAGCATCCCCTGTGAGGTGGGCCCACCCTAGGCCTCTAGGACCAGGCCTTTTGGTGTTTCTGAGCATGAAGGGCAGGAGAGCCCTTGTCCTTCAGATCGAATACTTAGGAGTTTATGACTGAAACAGAGATTTGCTTCAAAATACCCAAGCTGGGGTGTGGATGAAACAGGGCTGTTGAGGCTCACAGTGTGACCCAGCCTCTGTATCTGTGTGGCACTGGTCAGGGCTGCTTCTGCTAGAGGTAGCTTACACTTGGCTCAAGCCTGGGCATGAACATGCTGGCTCGCCTGTACTGAGTTGTCTGGGGTGGGCTTAAGGCAAGGCTGTTTTCAGAGGCTCACTGGTGATGGGGGGAAGACTCTCCAGCCCATCTTGTGGCTCTGCCCCTTGTATGTAAAATGCCTCCCAGATCCAGGCAAAGGGCAGTTGGGAGGCCTCTTCCTCCTGGAGTCCTCGTCAGCCCCTTAGAAAGGATTGAGCAAGGCTGCCTGGGGGATGGCCCCACCTCCAGATAGCTCCTATCCCACCACATGGTGGGGTGTTGCCCAGGAAGGGGGACTCCTGTGGGGAGTTGTGGGGAAAGGTGAGCTAGAAACAGGTGTGGGTTGGCAGAGGCAGTTGGCTTGTGGCACTTGCAGCTGTTAGTGAAGTCAGGACTCTGGTTTTGAGAGAAAGGGCCCATTGGACCTCTTCCCCAAAGCAAAGGCACCTCTCCCTGTACAGCAAACTCTGTTGGAATGTCCCAGCTGGCATTTTTTTCTGTCCCCTTTGACAACCGACTCCCTGACCCTCCTGCTGAGTATACACACAGTGTGTGGCATTGCAGGAACCAGTGACCTTCCTGGATGTGGCTGTGGACTTCAGCAGGGACGAGTGGGAACTGCTGGAGCCAACACAAAGGACTGAGTACCATGATGTGATGCTGGAGACCTTCAGACACCTGGTCTCTGTGGGTAAGGACAGGGATGCCACACGGGCTCCAAGTGGTGGCTTTAGCCTTTTCTGAGCCTAGCTTAAGAAATGGGTGTGCCCCTCAAGAGTCCCTTGCAGCCCAGGACGGGTGGCTCAGTTGGCTGGAGCATTGTTCTGTACACCAAACGGGTGCAGGTTTGAATCCCGGTCAGGGCACATACCTAGAATGGAGGTTCAATCCCCAGTCAAGGTGCATACAGGAGGCAACCGATTGATGTTTCTCTCTCACACCGACTTTCTCTAAAAATCAATAAAAACATGTCCTCAGGTGAGAATTAAAAAACAAAAAGAGTCCCTTGCATCATTCAGAGCCTTTAACTGGCACTATGGACCTGAAGGAGTGGGTGTTGTGCAGAAGGAGGCAGCCTCAGGCCCACTGAACGACTAATCTGTACACCCTGTTGGGTGTATGAGGGCAGCACAACTTGGAGAGCCAGATACCCTCCAGCTCTCAGCCCAGACCTTGATCTCCAAGCACAGTATTCCTACTTTGCTGCTTTACTGCTTTTCTCAGTCCCTCTCCCCAGGTTGCAAGTCTATAGTTGGGGATAAAAACAATCCAACTTTTGCCCTGGCCAGGTGGCTCAGCTGGTTGGAGCTTTGTCCCATCCACCAAAAGGTTATGGGTTCCATTCCTGGTCAGAGCACATACCTAGGTTGTAGGTTCAATCTTGTCAGGGCACATATGCCAGGCAACTGTTGCTCTCTCTCACTCCTTTCTTGGCTTTCTTTCTAAAATGAATAAAAACATATCCTTGGGTGAGGATTTAAAAAAAATTCCCCCAGCTTTTTTCTTTTTTTTTAATCCTCACCCAAGGATTTTTTTTTTTACATTTATCTTCAGACAGAGTGGGAGGGAGGGAGAAAGAGAGAGAGAGAGAGAGAGAGAAACATCGATGTGAGAGAGAGACATCAACTAGTTGCCACCCACACAACCCCAACCGGGGCCTGGGATGAACTGCAGCCAAGGTACATGCCCTTAGGTGGAATTGAACCCATGGGCTGATGCACTAACCACTGAGCAAAACTGGCCAGGGCTCCCCCAGCTTTTGAATACTTAATTATATCATACTCTCAATCCACTTCAGCATTTTCTCTATGTGGATTCCACACCTTTTGGTTCCTCTCAGGATGGGAGACTACTCTGGAAGGCAAGCAGTTAACCCCAAAGTCTGTTCCTGAGGGAGAACCAGCCGGTGACCTGAAAGTGGACGGACTCTCAAGGGCCAAGGCCCAGTTTTCTACCTCAGAAGAGACCTTGCAGGGTGGAGCTCTGGAAGTTCAGGACACAGCACTGCAGCGCGTGGGGGTGACTCAGGAAGAATCCCTCTCTCAGAAGCAGCACTGTGAAAGCCCCAAATCCCAGACAAACACACATCTTGCCACTAGCCACGTTTCACTCCAGAAACCTCGACCTAGGAAACGCTTGCGCAAGCATAGCTCACGGGTTAAAAAGGCGACGCGTAATTCACATACAAAAATTCATCAGAAGAGCCGAAAAGGGGACAAAGCCAGGGAAAGTAGTGGTTGTGGGCTCCTCAGCTGGAGCACCCAGCAGGTTACATTTACAAGAATTCATAAGGAGAGCCAAGTTTGCCGATGCAGCGCATGTGGTAAAACGTTCCGGAATCCGAGATACTTCTCTGTACATAAAAAAATCCACACAGGAGAGAAGCCCTACGTGTGTCAGGACTGTGGGAAAGCCTTCATCCAGAGCTCCTCCCTCACGCAGCATCAGAGAATCCATACTGGAGAGAGACCATTTAAATGTCGTGAATGTGGGAGGACTTTCAATGACCGATCAGCCATTTCCCAGCACCTGAGGACTCATACCGGAGCCAAGCCCTACCAGTGTCAGGTCTGCACAAAAGCTTTCCGCCAGAGCTCCCATCTCGTCAGGCATCAGAGGACCCACACTGGGGAACGCCCCTACACTTGTAACAGGTGTGGAAAGGCCTTCACCCAGAGCTCACACCTCATAGGGCATCAGAAGACGCACAGTGGGGCGAAATGCAGGAAGAAACACCGATCTCCTAGTGCCAAAGCTTCTTGAAGAGATGCTGCCTTTTCCTGTGTGTTAATATACACTCAAGGATATTTTTCCATTGATTTTTAGAGGGAGTGGAAGGGAGGGAGGGAGGGAGGAACATCAATGTGAGAGATACATCAATTGGTTGCCTCCTGCATGCACCCCAACCAGGTCAGGAAATGAACCCATAACCCAGGTATGTGCCCTTGACCAGAATCAAACTCACCCCTTTGGTACATGGGCTGATGCTGGAATCACTGGGCCACACCGGCCAGGGTGAGGTGCTGCCTTTTCAACTCAGTCTTGCATTGGAACCTGAATGGGTGTGGTTGGGATTCAGAACTAATTATGAAAAACAGCTTTTGAACTATGATGTTCTCAAGACCAAAGGACAACCAGGGACACCGTCCTTCACACACAAATGAACTGGTGGGGCATTGTCACTGATGAATTTAACAGTTGGAAAAACAGATTTAATTTTTTACTTGATTTATAGTTATGATTTAGTCATTAGGAGTGATATAAGTGAAAGCTGAGAAGTGCATATAATGAAAAAGTGGATATTGATATTTGTAGTAAAGTATTTATGTGTATGAACTAGAAAAGAGAAGATGGATAAATAAACTATATTTCTGTAGTAAAATGTGTGCCTTTTCCTATTTAAATATCTTTTCATTACTGTTTTTATAAATAAGCAACGTTAAAACAAAGGATGGAGCCCTGGCCAGGTGGCTCAGTTGGGTGGAGCGTCCTCCCATACACCAAGATCGTGGGTTTGTTTTCAGGTCAGGGCTCATACGTAGATTGCAGGTTCAATCCCCAGTCAGGGCACACACAAGAAGAAACCAATGAATGCACAAATAAGTGAAACAACAAATCAGTGTTTCTCTGACAGTAAATGAAGTGGGGGTAATATATGGAGTTTCATCACACTATTCTACTATCATATATATGTAATTTGTGTAATAAAAACAAAGGTCATTTATTATATCGTAAGGAAAAATCCCAAGGTTGGCATAGGCAAAATTAGTTGATTCAGTATTTGTTGACTCAAGGAGGATCCCATTACTGTTTTGTTTTTTTTCTTTCTTTTTTTTTTTTTTATCCTCACCCGAGGACATTTTTCCATTTTTTGTTCAGGTAGAGTGGGAGGGAGAGAGAGGAACAGAGAGAGAAACATCGATGTGAAAGGAACACATCGAGTGGCTGCCACCCGCACAACCAACCAGGGCCGGGGACAAACTGCAACCAAGGTACGTGCCCTTAGCGGGAACCGAACCCGGGTCTCTCCGGACCACAGGCCGACGCTCTGACCGCTGAGCCAAACCGGCCAGGGCCTGTTTTGTTTTTTTAATCCTCATAGGAGAACATACTCATTTTTAGAGAGGGGAAGGGAGAGAGAGGGAAAAACATCGATGTGAGAGAAATATCCATCGGTTGCGGGTTCAATTTTCTGGTCAGGGCACATACCTAGCTTTTGGGTTTGAGCCCAGCTGGAACCTGTATGGGAGGCAACTGATCAGTGTTTCTCTCTTGCATCAATGTCTCTCTCCCTGTCAAAAAAAATTTTTTTTTCTTGGGTGAGAATAAAAAAAAAACACACACGAAAAAAGACTTCCTTACTAACTGCCATCCTCCTGGTTTTCTACCCTGTCCTACTTAGGAGCGAGGGGAAGACAAACAAATACACGCCCAGACCCCCTCCACCCCGAGCAACCTCACAGGCTGACCCGTCTCCGGTCAGCCGGCCTCCAGCTTCCCCCGTGAAGGGTGCAGCCAGGGCGCCACTCCGTTTTTCCTGTTTGTCGTTGTCCCTGTGCTCGGCCTTTCGGCCTCCGCCAAACGCACAGGATGGTGGCGGGCTGCCTGGCTCCGCCATCAGGCGGTCTTCCTTTACTTCCACAGCAGGTCCGGAGATCAGAAAGGCTCGTGAGGGAAGAATGCCCAGCCCTGGGTGGTGGTTCAGTGAGCCGGAAGTGTCCTCCCCTGCACCACAAGGTTGCGAGTTCGATCCCCGGTTGGAGGCCTATGGGAGGCAATGGATGTTTCTCACATCGATATTTTCTTCTCCTTAAAACCGATACATATATCCTAGGGTGAGAGTTAAAAACTTTTTTAAAAGGAAGAAGGTCAAGCGCAGTTCAAACGTGAACCCCGCCCTCAACGTGGGTCTCAGCGGCTGGGGCATCGGCCGCGGTTGCCGGATGAGGGGAATCAGAGCCGCCCCCTTGAGTCGGATCCCAGAAGGGAGGGGCGGCCTGGAGCTGAATGAAGGAAAGCGAACGTCTGGACCATAAAAGGGAGTAAACTGGCCCGCAGACAACTGGCCGCACGCTACCGCCGGCCCCGACGCCACAGCCGCGGGTGTTAACGACCGTCGCCTCGCGACGAAAGGCCACTGGCGCGTGGCCTCCTGGGATTTGTAGTAAGCGGCGCGGTACGCGCGCACTTCCGCCCCCCACCGGAAGCTCCGCCATTGCCTCGCGCGCGCAGGTGAGTCCGGCCCGCGGGACCAGCGCGGAGGCTCTGCTGTTACCGGAGCGGAGCGGGTTGCAAGATTGGGCGGAAGTCACTCTGGCGGCGCTCGGTCGGGGGAGCGGGGCTGGCCCGGGTGCCTCCTCCTGCGGGGCCGGGCAGGGGCCTGTAACTTTCCAGCCCCTCGGGTTCCTGCAGCTGGTCCAGTTAGGGCCCTTCAGGCAGCAGAGCCCGGCTGAGTCTCATGGTGGGGGCGGCTCTCTTGCTGCAGGAGGGGATGGGGCTGCCCTGGTTGACCCTTTCCTGCCGCAGAGCAGGCTTGGGTGGGGGGCTTCAGTATCTTGTCAGCACCCAGCTGCTGTTGAGAGTTTCATGCAGGCTTTGGGGATGTGGGGCCTCCCATCGAGGCCTGGATTTGCCTTCATTTTTCCTCTCTGAAATCACACTGCCCATCCCCAGGAAGTCGTAGCCAAGAGCCACTTTGCAGCTGCCCGGAAAGGTACCCCATGTGGATAAAAAAGTTCTGTGAAAAGTAACCTCACAGGGTGATATGGTCGTAAATTCCTAACTGGTCAGGTCAAGGTGTGTAACTTCTTTAGTAAAAGGCTTATCGTTGCCCTAGACAAGCTCTGTCCCTTGTTTCTTTGCCTCTCCGGTTAGCACACCTTTGAAATGCCTTTTTGGTCAAATATTCTGTAATCCAGATCCCTATCTTGCTTTCTCATACCTCTTTGTAATCTTTGTTATGTTTCCTCATTAATTCTGAATGCCCAGAAGATGCTGCAAACTCATTTCTGGAAAACATTTTCTCAGTCTCTTGAAGTCTTGTTTCCAGGTGTATTCTCTGGCTTTATATATTATAAAAGTCTTCTACAAGTTTGGACGCCCTTACATCCCCACCCTGTACCACACAGGACACCCCCTTTCCAGGACACGGCCACGTTTTCTTCCACTGGTATGTGAACGTTGTATGCAGTTTGGAAAGATAGTGTATGTTTTTCAAGTGAACAGAGCATTAGGAGTAGCCTAGTCGCAGCAAACAACATCAGCAAATATCTGTTCCAGGGTGTTGGGGGCCTACATTGGTTGTGTATGCTGATGCCTCAAGTTAGGGGCTGGGTGAGAGAAGGCCAGAGAGGTGAGCAATACTGGTGGTGTGGATAGCAGGGACAGGAAGCTATCCTGTGCATGAGGGCTTGGGGTTGGGTTTCAAAGAGCTTCTAGGAGTGGAATCATATGGTTTTGGAAGTAATTCAGTGCAAGGGGGAGAGTCAAAGCAGTGAAAATTGCTGAAGGGACTCAGAATTTACATTTCTTTTTAAAATTTTATTGATTGATTTTAGAGAGAGAGGAAAGGAGAGACAGAAACATCATGTGTTGTTCCATTTTTTTTTTTTTTTTTTTATCCTCACCCGAGGACATTTTTTGTTCAGGTACAGTGGGAGGAAGAGAGAGAGAGAGAAACATCGATGTGAAAGGGACACATCGAGTGGCTGCCACCCACTCGACCGACCAGGGCCGGGGACAAACTGCAACCAAGGTACATGCCCTTAGCGGGAACCGAACCTGGGTCTCTCGGGACCACAGGCTGATGCTCTAACCGCTGAGCCAAACCAGCCAGGGCTGTTCCATTTTTTTATGCATTCATTTGTTGATTCTTGTATGTGCCCTGACCTGGGATTGAGCCCACAATCTTGGTATATCAGGATGACACTCTAACCAGCATGGCCAGAGCAATTTTTTTTTTCTTTTTCTCTTTTTTTTAATTGATGACATTTTGAGAGAGAGAATCATCAATCTGTTGTTCGGCTTATTTATGCATTTATTTGTTGATTCTTATATGTGCCCTGACCAGGATCAAACCCTCAACCTAGGTATATCAGGACAGCACTCTAATCAACTGAGCTATCCAGGCAGGGCTCCATTGCTAGTGCGAAGCCAAGAAGGAGGTCACAGAAAAAGAGAGAAGGAATTCCTGATCATTCTTGACTCTTGAGTTGATGATGCTGGGTGGGGGTATGGCTGGATATGGAGGAGATAATGGCAGTGTCAGGGAGACTGGGGCAGCACTTGAAACCCCATCTCACAGTCAGGGAAAGGGGAAACTGGAAAAGTAAAGAGAAAGAGCCTCCTCCCCAGCCAGACCAGCCATTTCCTTGGTTCTGCATGTGATATGGAAGGGGAATTTCATGTCCATGTATAGTAAATATGACTAAATGTGCCATGCCTGTATTGGTGTCAGCATGGTGTTAAACTCTGTAAATGCAACTCATTTAATTCTCACAGCAGCACCATGAGGCAGGACCTGCTATTCTTCTGTAAGTCCATAGATGAAGAAACTGAGGCCAAGAGGGATTAAGGTCTATTAGGGGTCCTACAGAGGAAAGTGGTAAGCTGGGACTTTGAAAGTAGGCAGTGTGGCTGCAGTGTGGGTGTTCCCAGACAAGGAAGGAGAGAGGATCCAAGGGTGGAAATGGACACAGGCAGCAGGAGATTGCCCAGGGATGGGCTGGAGTATCAGAACAAGGTAGCAGCATCTAGAGTTTTGGGCAGCCTTCTTGGGTGTGATGTACATGTGTGTGTACGTGTGTGTTCGTAAGTGAGGGGGCAGGATGAGGCACGGGAGACTGGGGGTGTTGGTCACTCTGTCAAGGGCTCAGCTATGAGGAGCAGGAGCTTGGTGGCAAGGGTGGGGCTTAACCAGAAGGAAAACCTCCCCTGAGAAGTTGTAGGGAGCCATTTGGAAGGGTGTGGACTTAGAGGAGTCCAGAGTCTTCAACGAATTCATAGGTTTGTCTGCACAGAAGGGATATAATGTTGAGAGGAACTGAAAGAGGGAGTGAGAGCCAGGACTTGCCTCTGTAGACAGATGGAGATGAAGTGGATGTTGGTGTCCTTGCAGTCTCATTACCACCCAGGTATTAGAAACCAGCAGGGGAAGGCAGAAAGAGCAGCCAGTGATAGCCATTCTCACAGGTGTGAGGTAATATATCATTGTAGTTTTGATTTGCATTTCTCTGGTGATTAGTGATGAGCATCTTTTCATATGGTGGCCATCTGTATGTCTTTAGAGAAATGTCTATGCAGGTTATCTGCTCATCTTTTAATTGGATTTTCTGTTTTTATGTTGACCTGTATGAGTTCTTTATATATATTGGATGTTAACCCCTTATCAGATATTTAATTTACAGATATCTTCTTTGATTTAGTAAGTTTCCTTATTTTGTTTCATTGATAGTTTCCTTTGCAGCACGAAAGTTTTTTGTTTTTTTTTTGGTATGTGCCCCCAGCAGGAACCGAACCCGGGATTCTCTGGTCCACAGGCCAACGCTCCAACCGCTAGGCCAAACCGGCCAGGGCAGCACAAAAGCTTTATAGTTTAATGTAGTCCTATTTGTTTTTACTTCTGTTTCCTTTGCCCTAGGACACATATCTAAAAATTATTGGTAGTACCTGGCCGGATGGCTCAGTTAGTTGGAGTATGAGTATTGTTCTGTACACCAAAAGGTTGAGGGTTCAATACTTGGTCAGGGCATGTACAGGAGGCAACTGATCAGTCTCTCGCACACTGATGTTTCTCTCTCTCGCTCTCCCTCTCCCCCCCTCCTTCCCTCCTTCTCATCCTCTCTCTCTAAGATCAATAAACATCCTTGGGTGACGATTAAAAAAAATTTTTAAGAAAAAAACACCTCACTTGTTTTCTTTTAAGATAGTTCATATAGTATTTGTCATTAAAAAATGGCATTACAACATTCCAATGTTGATTGTTTAGTTTCCTGGATTCCTCTTGATGAAACTTTTAGAAAGAAAAAAGAAGTTAACATTTATTAGCATCTTCATTGTACTAATTCAGTGTACCTTTGATCATTTGATGAGAGGCAGTGTAGCAAGGTAGTTAAGATCAGTGTTGAGTTTGCAACTTTCCTTGTACTTATACTTGCCAGTGTGACCTTGATTATTTTTGTTAATTTCTCTATACTTCACTTTTCTTTTTGGTGAAATGAATAAAATCCCAGGATCTACCTCATAGGGTTGTTGTGAGGGATACACTAAGTTGATGTAAGTAAAGCACTTGGAGCAAGTGCTTTGGAGTAGGCGCTCAGCATTAGAAACTGGCACTCTCTTCATCAAATCTCACAAAGTGAGGTGCCATTATCCCCATTTCACTGATGGGGAAACTAGGGTTTAGAGTTGAAGCAATTTATGTGGAAATAACACTGGAAGTCATACTAAAATAAAGAGCTTTTATCATTTAAAAATTTTTTTCTTTTAAATAAATAAAAATTATTGCTAAGACCAGTGTCAAAAAGTTTATTGCCTGTGTTTTCTTCTAGTTTTACGTGTTTAATCCAGTTGAGCTTATTTTTGTGTGTGGAGTTAGAAAGTGGTCTTTTTTTTGCATATGTCTGTCCAGTTTTCCCCATTGCAATTTATTAAAGAGACTGTCTTTACTCTGTGGTATATTCTTGCCTTGCTTGTCATAAATTGACCATATAAGCAGAGTTTTATTTCTGGGCCCTCTATTGTGTTATTCTGCCCCAGGGAGTGGGGCAGCATTCTGGTACTTCCAGAATGTCATAAGCGAGGGTGCATGTGGTGTGACATCCCTTTTTTGGAATGTCCTTTCCTGTCTTGGGGATTCTCATGTCCTCATCACCACCCACAAACACACACACGTTTTTTGGAAATTGGCTGATGTTTCAATGTGCACTTTTAAAAAAAAAAAAACCAAGTCATGTTTCACTGAGAATTGTACAGAGTTTTTTGTTTGTTTGTTTTTGCAAACTAGTTTTGATACCCTGCCTTTCCCTCTGCCATCTATTCTATTCAAATGACAGGAAAAATGGGCCCCTCTGTGTTAAGGAAAAACTCTGTATCTGGGGGCTCAGTTCAGACACCCCAACCCATTCCTGGGCATTTACCTTGAGCCTGGGGGCAGCCCAGGTCCATCCCCAGCCCAGACCTCAGCAGACTGAGCCCACTTCATCACTGGAAAGCCTGCTTGGCCACCTCTGCTGACCCCAGAGCCCTACCCTGCTCTTTACACCACAAGGAATGCCCCTCCACTGGTACATTCCAATCCATTGGGGTTGGGGTGGGCTCGAAGGTGTGGGGGCACTGAGGAAGGGCTGAATCCCTAATTGTCCCCCCACCACCAGCATTGCCTCCTGAGATCGGCTGCCCTCTTCAAGACAGCTTCTTCTGGTCTGAGGAGGAAATGGAGGCACATTCTCAGCCAGTCCCATCCCAGGTGAGTTAGAGACCTTTGCTCTCTGCCTGTCAGTCTCCTCAGCTGTAAAATGGGTCCAGGAATAGCATTCACTTCAGGCTGGCACACAAGAGCTCCATGGTGGTACCTTGTACCTTTGGTTGAGACCCACAGGCTCTGCAGGTAAAGCACCTTCCCTGTGTGGATGAACCAGGGCTTCTAGGGTCTCCTGTACCTAGTTCCTGGGTCACATCTCTTCCCCTCATCCTGTGAGACTACTGGAAGTGGGATGCTATCTTCATGGTCACTTCATGGCAACTCACACCTGAGAAGTTCAGGGACTTGTCTAGGTTCTGAGTCGTGAGATGCCAAATGGACCTGGCATCCAGGGCCAGGGTGCATGGCCCCTTCCTTGCCTGACAGCCTTCCTTGAGAACCTGCTCTACCAGTGTTTCCTGTAAAGGACCAGGTAGTGGAAAATTACTTAGGCTTTGCGTCACATGGTCTCTCTCCCATGTCCTTTTTGTACACGGCCCTTTAAGAAATAAAATCCATTTTTAGCTGTATTAGTCTGCTCAGGCTGCTGTAACAAAAGACTGCAGACTGTGTGGCTCAAACATTTGTGTTCTCGTTCTAGAGACACAGTCTGAGATTGAGGTGCTACCAGGGTTGTTTTCTGGTGAGAACCTTCTTCCTGACTTGCTGATGGTGTTTTCCCTGTGTCCTCACACAGTGGAAAAGGAAGTCTTTGGTATCTCCTTGTGTTAAAAAGAGACCAAGTCCACTGTATTAGGCCTCTGCCCTTATGATGCCCATTAACATTTTTGTAAAGGCTGTCTCCCCAAATACAGCCCCTTTGTGGGGTAGGGCTTCAGCATGTGAATTTTGGGGGACATAATTTAGCTTAGGGCATTATCCTAAAAAACACACACCAAAGCCTTTATTTGTCCACCAGACCATTGATTTAGAACATCCTCTTTGGGTTTAAATCTGTGATTGTGTAGAGAAGTAGGGGGTGGGGAATCCTTGTGTGGGGTTCCCATTGTTTCCCAGGAAAGAAAACAAGGATCACTGGTGTGACCAGCAGCAGACCAGGCACTCAAGTGAAAATGCCGTGGACTGGGTTGGTGTCTGATCAGAGCACCACCCAAAGGCAGGAACCCTGTGGGTGCTCTGAACATCATCCCCAGAGCACCATTTCCTTTTTTTGCTGTCCTGCCCCCCTCAACCTCCACATCAGAGAGGCAGGACCCCATGGTAATGCTGGTGATGTTTCAGCCACCTGTGACCTTCAAGGATGTGGTTGTGAACTTCACGCATGAGGAGTGGGGACGGCTGGACCCAGTCCAGAGGACACTGTATCGGGACGTGACTCTGGAGACATGTGGCCACCTCGTCTCCCTGGGTAAGGTGGACTCTGTCCATTGCATGGGCTCTGTGCCTCAGACCCAAAGCTGTGGTTCTTTCCAACAGTGTGCTTTTGCTGGAGTGAAGCACTCCTGAAGTGCATCCCTTTGATATGCAGACCTTAGGTATTGCCACTCCACTGCATGTTTGTGACTTCTTTCCTTGGAATGGCTCTAGGGCCTTCCTAGTCCACCTGTGTCTCACCCCAGGGGAGGAGGGCTAGGCCCGAGGACAGAGTTCTTTGTAACGAAGCAGACCGTCTAGTCCTGTGTTTTTCCCTATCGAGCAGGGCTGCTGCTCCCCAGTGTGGATGTGATCTCCCGCCTGGAGCAAGGTGACAGCCCATGGAGCACGGAGCAGGAACCTCCTCCCCAAGGTGAGAGCCTTTGGTTAACATGGACAGAGAGCTCACTGCCTCCTCATGTCCAGCAAGGCAGCCATGTCCTCATCCACCAAACCAGCCCAGGGAGAACCCTTGCCACCACCATCTGTACATTTCTCAGGAGTGATTTTACTTCTGTTCCCATCTTCCCTTTGGTCTTTACCCCTCAGCCACCTTGTCCTTCCCAAGTCCTCCTAACCCATCCTTTCCATGAGTTCCTCTTCCTAACTTCCACCTGGGGAAGTAGTTTCTCAGGTCTGATCTTTGCCCCACAGTTGAGTGTCCACCCCTCCTTGGCGTTGGACGTTCCCATGACTTCCCATGGTGTGCTGATATCTAGTGCATCCTAGGAAATGTCAGCCACCTGTTCCTTCTAGAAGGATTCCTACTATGTCGCCATCCCTGGGCCTGGTTTCTCACATTTTCTCATCCCATAGACCCACCTCCTTCCATATTCCAGTGTGTCAGCTGAATTGGAATCCTTTTATTTAACAGCTGTATCAAGATATAACTCACCTGTTCAAAGTATACAAAAGCTTTTAGTGTGTTCACATCGCCAGAATTCATTTTCGAACATGTTCATCATCCCAATTAATTGGACTGCTTTTCACTGTTTTTTATTTGTTTCTTTTAATTAACAGATGTTTTTATGATTATGCATAGTTTTGTTTTTTAATTTTTTTCTTTATTGCTTTTAGAGAGAGAGGAGGGAGAGGGGGAGAGAGAAACATTGATGAGAGAGAACGTCGATTGACCACCTCCTGCATGCCCACCTCCTCCCCCCACTGGTGATTTGGTACACAACCTGGGCATGTGCCCTGACTAGGAATCGAACTGGTGACCTCTTGGTTCATGGGTGCACGCTCAAGCACTGAGCCACACTGGCTGGGCTAGAATATGTTTTAAATTTTATTTTACATTTTTATTTCTTGATTTTTATTTTATTTATTTTTTATTACTGATTTTAGAGAGAGGAAGGTGGGGAGAGAGAAAGCAACATTGATTGGTTACCTCCTCTACACGCCGGGACTGCAGAGCAAGCCTGCTACGTGGGTATATGCCCTGAAAGGGAATTGAACCCACCACCTCTGATGTAGGGACAACACTCCAAACAACTGAGCCAGCCATACTATCCAGGGCTTTATTTATTGATTTTTAGAGAGAGAGAGAGGATAGGAAATAGAAACATTGATTTGTTGTTCTACTTATTTATGCATTCATTGGTTGCTTTTTTTTCTTTTTAAAGATTTACATTCTTGCCCTGGCCAGTTTGGCTCAGCGTTTAGAGCGTCGGCCTGCGGTCCAGAGAGACCCGGGTTCGGTTCCCGCTAAGGGCACATACCTTGGTTGCACTTTGTCTCTGGCCCCAGGTGGGTCAGGGCCATGGGGAGGCAGCCACTCGATGTGTCCCTTTCATGTCGATGTCCCTCCCTCCCTCCCTCCCACTCTATCTGAACAAAAAAAGGAAAAATGTCCTCAGGTGAGGATAAAAAAACAAGATTTACATTCTTTATTTTTTTAAATCCTCACTCTAGGACATGCTCATTGATTTGAGAAAGAAAGGAAGAGAGAGAGAGAGAGAGACATCTTTGCGAGAGAGAAATACCAGTCATTTGTCTCCCACATGTGCCCCTTACCAGGGATCAAACCCGAACCTTTCAGTACAAGTCAATGCTCCAACCAACTGAGCTACTCAGGCAAGGCTAAGTTGTATTTTTTAATTACAGTTGACATTCAGTATTATTAGTTTTAGGTGTAAAACATAGTGATCCAGGCATTTATTTATACAACTTACAAAGTGATCACCCCAATAAGTCTTGTACATACCTGATACCATACATAATTATCACAATATTATTGACTGTTCCCTATGTTGTACTTCACATTCCCATGAATATTTTTATAATTGGCACTTTTTACTTCTTAGTCTTAGACCTTTTTCACCATAGACATTTTGAAAGCAGCTTTCTGTTTACACAAAGTCAAACAGAAAATACCGAGTTCCCATTTACCTCTCACCCCATATATACACAGTTTCTCCTATTAGCATTTTGTATTCTGTGGTACATTTGTTAACATTGGTGAGCCTGTATTAATTGTAACATCATTAATAGTGATCAGTAGTTTACATTAGGTTCATACTAGGTGTCCCATATTCTATGATGAATGTATGATATATATCCACTATTATAGTATGAAGAGTAGTTTTACTGCCCTAAAAATCCTCTGCGCTCTTCCTGTTCATCTCTGCCTCCACCCTAACTCCTGGCAACCACTGATTATTATACACTCTCTGACATTTGCCTTTTCTAGAAAGTTCTGTAGTTGGAACTTTCTAGAGTGGCAGGCTTTCTCTGCAGTCCTTTTGTCATGGGCTGTTTTCACATAGCATCATGTGTGTCCTTCCCATCACCTGGAGGCATTGAATGTATCTCTGTTTCTACTCCTTACCCTGTAACTCTCTCCTGCAGCTTGTTGTTTTTTCCTCAGAAGTCTCACCTACTGTAATTATCCTTGGTCCTCAAATGACATTTTGGCTGACCACAGTTTGTCTTTCTCTGTTCATGACCTTGACAGAGATGCTGTCGTAACATATTTAATGTCTAGGCTCAATTTCCAACAGCCAGGCAGAACTTACCCACCTAGAGATTTCTGTTCTCCTTGTCCACGAATCCCTTTTCACTTCACTTTGTTGAGTCATTGTTGCATTTGAAAAAATTCTCATTCTCACCATCGGAGATTCCAAAACAACACCCCAGATGAACACAGCAGAGTTTTAGGAAAGAGAACAGTGTCGGTCGTGGGGGTTATTAGGTGTAGATAAGCACCTTGCCCAAGAGAGAAAGAGGGTCTTTATTTGACATGAAGGAAACATCCTCTTAGAAGTCAAGAGATGGCCAGAGAGTGAGTTAATACCTTGTTAAGTGGAGCATCCTTATCTCCTTGGTGGGCAGGGAGAGCGAAGGATGGGTACTTGAGCAGAGGCCTTGATAGTACTAGATGCAGGTGGCCACATGACTGAAATGGGCAGATTGAACACTAAAAGGGGAGTTTTGAAGGACCCCTGTGAGGGTCCTAAGCTCAGAGCATATAGCCTGACTGACATCTTCAACAAAAGGAGGAATCCACATTAGGACAAGGATGATAGCTGTACTGTGTGCTAACAGTGTATCATGTGCCAGACACCCTTTGAGGCTCACATATTGACTGATTTATGCCTTAGGGTAAATTTCTCATAAGTTAAGCTTTTTTTTTTTTTTGTAAATATGTTTTTATTGATTTTTCTTTTTATCCTCACCCGAGGACATTTTTCCATTTTTGTTCAGATAGAGTGAGAGGAAGAGAGAGGGAGAGAGAAATATCAATGTGAAAGAGGTACATCGAGTAGCTGCCTCCCACATGACCCAACCAGGGCCAGGGAAAAACTGCAACCAAGGTACATGCTTTTAGTGGGAACTGAACCTGGGTCTCTATGGACCGCAGGCTGACACTCTAACCCCTGAGCCAAACAGGCCAGGGCAACTTAAGCATTCTTTTTTTTTTTTAAATCTTTATTGTTGAATGTAGAATGTATTACAGGTGTTCCACATTTTACCCCCATTTACCCCCTCCTCCCCACTTCCACCCCCCTCCTGCCTTTTCCCACACTATTGTCTGTGTCCATTGGTTATGCATATAAGTTCATTGGTTTATTTCTTCCCACCTCCCCAGCCACTTTCCCTTTGAGGTTTGTCAGTCTAGCAATGAATTTGTACTTCTTAATCCCTTCACCTTTTTCACCCATTCTTCCAACCTCCTCCCATCTGGCAACCAACAAAATGTTCTCTGTATCTATGAGAATGTTTCTGATCTACCTGTTCATTTTGTTTGTAGATTCCATTGTTGATAGATATGTATTCATTGCCATTTTGTTTGTTCGTATATTTTATCTTTTTCTTCAAAAAGACCCTTCATCGTTTCATATAATAATGGTTTGGTGATGATGAACTCCTTTAACTTTTTCTTGTCTGGAAAACTCTTTTTTTTTTATCCTCACCCGAGGACATTTTTCCATCTTTTGTTCAGGTAGAGTGGGAGGGAGAGAGAGGAACAGAGAGAGAGAGAAACATCGAGGTGAAAGGAACACATCGAGTGGCTGCCACCCGCATGACCAACCAAGGCCGGGGACAAACTGCAACCGAGGTACGTGCCCTTAACGGGAACCGAACCCGGGTCTCTCCAGACCGCAGGCCGACGCTCTAACCACTCAGCCAAACCGGCCAAGGCTGGGAAACTCTTTATATGGCCATCAATTCTAAATGACAGCTTTGCAGGATAGAGTAATCTTGGTTGTAGGTTCTTGCTTTTCATCACTCTGAATATTTGCTGCCACTCCCTTCTGGCCTGCAAAGTTTCTTTTGAGAAATCAGCTGACAGCCTTATGGGTACTCCCTTGTAGGTAACTAGCTGCCTTTCTCTTGCTGCTTTTAAGATTCTCTCTTTGTCTTGAACCTTTTGCATTTTGATGATGATGTGTCTTGGTGTGGGCCTCTTGGGGTTCATCTTGTTTGGGACTCTCTGTGCTTGCTGGACTTGTATGTCTGTTTCCTTCACCAAGTTAGGGAAGTTTTCTGCCATTATTGTTTCAAACAGGTTTTCGATATCTTGTTCTCTCTCTTCTCCTTCTGGCACCCCCAAGATGCGAATGTTGGCACACTTGAAGTTGTCCCAGAGGCTCCTTACACTATCCTCGTTTTTTTTTATTCTTTTTTCTTTTTGCTGTTCTGATTGGGCGTTTTTTGCTTCCTTATATTCCAAATCGATGGTTTGCTCCTTGGATTTACGTACTCTATTATTGAAGCTGTGTAAATTATTCTTTATTTCAGTTAATGCCTCCTTCAATTCTGACTGGTCCTTTTTTATGCTCTTGAGGCCCTCACTAAGTTCACTGAGGTTCTCACTGAGTTCATTGAGTATCCTTATAAGCAGTATTTTGAACTCAGCATCTGTTAGGTTGCTTATCTCCATTTCACTTAGTTCTTTTCTTGGGGTTTTGTTCTGTTCTTTCATTTGGGACCTGTTTCTTTGTCTCCTCATTTTGGCTGCCTCCCTGTGTTTGTTTCTGTGTATTACTTAACGAGCGGTATGGGGCTAGCTGAGACCAGATGCTGCTCCTTTGAAAGAATTTAGGAAAAACCTGAAGCAGGATCCAAGACAGGCCAGTCCTATGGTTAAGTAACTGGCAACAGCTTGGGTGGGCCTGAAAGTTGGGGTGGGGTGGGGTGGGGTGGGGTGGGGTGGGGTGGGGCGGGGCCTCAGGGAGTCACCAGGGCAGGGCTACCAGTGTGAGCCAGGTTGCTGGAGTCCCAGATATGGTGGCTGTCTGCCGCCCCAGGGAAGGGCTCACCAAAGGAACAAAGGCCTCTGACAGCACGTTTGTCCCAGAGAAAGCCCCCTCTCCAGCCCTCGCTCCAGTACCACACGACTCAGTTCTTCCCTGTATGTCTCTGGTGCCCCTCGAGCTGCCTCCCCTCCAAGCTTAGAGGGAGAGAGTCCGATAAATTCGTGGGCGGGCCCTTTAAGGAGCTGCCTGGGGCTCCAGCCACATCCGCTTCCCTGAGCCTCAGTTCCTGCTGGTTTTTCCAACCAGAAGTTATGGGGATTCTCTTCCTGGCACTGGAACCCTGAGCGGGGCACCTGGTGTGGGGTGGGGACCCCCTCAGTCCTCAGGAAGGACCTTCCCAGTCGAGGTGTCCCTCCTGATTTTTATCCGCCACACGTGGGTGTGGGACCAGCCCGTCTAGCCTCCGCCCCTCCTACCCGTCTGGATGTGGCTGCTGCTTTAATTCCGTAGTTGTAGGACTTCCATTCAGCTTGGTTTCTGGCGGTTTTGAATGATGGTTGTTCTGTAGTTTAGTTGTAAGTTTGATGTGGTTGTGGGAGGACACGATACTGCATTTACCTACTCCACCATCTTGACCGGAAGTCCCAACTTAAGCATTCTTATTCCTGGCTTACTGCTGAGGAAGAGAAGCCACGGGAAACACCAGTTGGGGAAGTCTGATGGTGGTTTGGACCGGCTGCAAAACCGCACTGCTTTAAGGCAGTCAGGGGGAGTTGTAGAAATGGTGCATTTTAACTGTTAAGTCAGTTTTGTTGTTTGGATCCTGTTTTAAGAATCAGAATCAGTCCTGGCTGGTTTGGCTTAGCAGTCAGAGCATCAGCCCACAGACCAAAGGGTTACAGGTTCAATCCCCAGCCCCAGCTAGGGTCATGTGGGAGACAACCAGTCAATGTGTCTCTCACATCAATCTCCCTCACTCCCTCTCTCCCTTCCTCCCTCCCACTCTATCTAAAAATCAATGGAAAAATATCCTCAAGTGAGGATTTAAAAAAAAAAAAGACTCAGAATCAGAAAATAAACTAAGTTTCTGGGTCAGTAATATAAGTTGAAGCACAAGTTAAAATACTGGATTACTTTCTTGAGGGTACTTTAACAAATTGCCACTAGGTACTTTAACAAATTGCCGCTAGGTGACTTAACACAAATTCTCCCACAGTTCTGGAAGCCAGAAAACTGAAATATCAATACCATTTGGCTGAAGTCAAAGTGTCAGCACTGCCATGTTCTCTCAGGTGGTTCCAGGAGGAAGTCTGTTCCTTGTGTCTTCTAGCTTCTGGGGGCTGTAACATTCCTTGGTTTTTACCCACATCACTTCAATCTCTTAACTCCAACATCTTATAATGTCTTGGCTCTGTGTTCATATTAACCTTGTCTTTGTATTTACTGTTCCTCTGATTCCATCTTATAAGGCTGCTGTGGAGAAATCGAGAGCCTGCCCAAATAATCTCCCCATCTCAAAACCCTTAACACATTTGCAAAAACATTTTTATTTTGTTTTTTTGTTTCTTTTGTTTTTAACCCTCAAGAATATCTTTCCATTGATTTTGAGATAGAGCAGAAGGGAGGGATGGAGAAACAGACATGGATGTGAGAGAGACACATAGATTGGTTGTGGGGATCAAACCAGCAACCCACGTACATGCCCTTGGCTGGGAATTGAACCCGTAACCCTTCAGTCCACAGGCGGATGCTCTGACCGCTGAGCCAGACCAGCCAGGGCCCTTTGCTTGTTTTTGGTTCTTCATCACTGATTTCCTTTTTGCTGATCCATCCCACTCTTTTACAGCCTGCATGAAATTTCAGTCCATGAACTTGAAACAAACCCCGAGACACCTCTCATACTTGGTGTTTTCCTTAACACACACATACACCACCACCACCACCACTCAATTAGGCTTCTGCAGTAATAAAGGCATTTTGGATTTCTTTCAGACTGGAACACTACACTTGAAAAGAAAGAGTCGTCTTCTGAAGAGGATATTGCTGTGGAAGAACCATCTTTCCATGTGGAAATGAAATACTTTGTAGAAGAGGGCCCCTGGTCTGTATCAGTAGAAGTACAGGATTGGAGGGACCAGCCAGGGAAGGACCAGGAGAAATCTTTGAGTCAAAGTGTACTTACCTCAAAGGAGAGAATGTTTGCTCAAGAGGAACATTGTGAGCATGACCTTGGAGGAAGTTATCTGAATGTAAGCCTTCTACCTCCAACATTACCTGCAAGAACACATTTGCACAAGCTTGACTCACAGATTAAAAAGTTGAAACAGAATTCGGTTTTCATTAGTCATCAGAAAGACTCAGCCCATCTGAAGCCTTGTGAAAATCTTGAAAGTGCCAGGGCCTTCTCTCAGAGCATTCACTTGAATAAACTTGCAAATGTTAAGATGGTAAATAGTAAGCCTTATAACTATCCTGTCAAGAGTGACTCTTTCAAATATGGTACCTCTGTTCATTTCCATAATATAATTTGTTCAGCAGAGAACAGCATTGATGGTAAGGACTATGGAAATGCTGTTAACCACAGCATGTCTCTGAGTGTAAACAACCCAGTGCATTTTGGAGAATGTCAATGTGAACATAATAGATGTTTTGAGCAAAGTGAAATAATTGTCAGTGATCCTGGACGTGAGGAGGACTGTGATGCCTTCTGCGTGGCCTCATCTGTTACTGACTGTGATATCATCCAGACCAGAAAGAAGTCACATGCATGTAATCTATGTGGAAAATCCGTCAGCTGTTGCTCTAGGCTTGTGCACCAGAGAACACACACTGGAGAGAAGCCATATAAATGCAATAATTGTGGAAAAGCTTTCAAGTGGAGATATCTCCTCATTGTGCATCAGAGAACACACACTGGAGAGAAGCCTTATCAGTGTAACATGTGTGTTAAAGCATTTAGTGGTCAGTCAGCTCTTAGAAAACATGAGAGAACACACACAGGTGAGAAACACTATGAATGTAATGATTGTGAAAAGTTCTTTAACCGGCAGAGTCACCTTACTAGGCATCAGAGAATTCATACTGGAGGGAAACCTTATTTGTGTGCTCATTGTGGGAACTCCTTCAGCCGTAGCTCTGACTTTGTTGCACATAAAAGGATTCACTCTGGAGAGAAACCCTACGAATGTAACCACTGTGGGAAATCTTTTTGGGAGCGATCGCAGCTTCTTGTGCATCAGCGAACTCATACTGGAGAGAAGAAATTTTATGAATGCAGTCATTGTGGAAAAGGTTTCAAATGGAGATCTCACCTCATTCTGCATCAGAGAACACACACTGGAGAAAAGCCCTATGAGTGTATTGACTGCGGGAAAGCCTTTAGTGATGGGTCATCTCTTAGAAAACATGAGAGAACACACACTGGCGAGAAACCCTACCACTGCAACCACTGTGGGAAATCTTTTCGGCAACAATCACAGCTTGTTGTGCATCAGCGAACCCATACTGGAGAGAAACCTTATGAATGTAATCATTGTGGAAAAGCTTTCAGCCAGAGATCTATCCTCACTGTTCATCAGAGAACACACACTGGAGAGAAGCCCTATAAGTGTAAAATCTGTGTTAAAGCCTTCAGCCAGAGATATCTCCTCATTGTGCATCAGAGAACACACACTGGAGAGAAACCCTATCAGTGTACCATGTGTGTTAAAGCCTTCAGTGGTCGGTTAGCTCTTAGAAAACACGAGAGAACACACACAGTTGAGAAACCCTATGAATGAATATAAGCATTGTGAAAAAGACCTCTATTGGGCAGAATTACCTTACTAGGCATCAGAATTCACACTGGATTGAAACCATATTTGTGTGCTTACTGTGGGAAGTCCCTCCATCATAACTCTACCTTTGTTGCACATAAAAGGATTCACACTGGAGAGAAACCCTATGAATGTAACCACTGTGCGAAAACTGTAGCAGCAATCACAGCTTGTGCATCTGTGAATTGATACTAGAGGGAAGAAACCTTATGAATGCAGTCATTGTGCAAAGATTCCAAATGGAGATCTCATTATGCATCGGAGAACACAAACTGGCGAGAAATCCTATAAATGTAATCATTGTGAAAAGGCCTTTATGTGGTGGTGGGCTTATTAGGCATCAGAGTATTCATACTAGAGAGAACCCCTATAAATGTAGTGAATGTGGGAAGGCTTTCAGTGATAACAAATCCCTTATTCAATGAGAAAACTCATGGGAGAGAAACCCTATGAATAATTAAGATGGAAAAGCTCATATGCCAGAACTTATTTTTTAGACATTCGACAACTCTATGCATCAAAAAAAATGCAGATGTACCACTCTTTCCCTGATTTGCTAAATCAGAATCACAGTAAAACCCAGGAGCCTCTCATTTCCGAAACTAGCACAAGTTATTTGTTATGTGCACTAATGTGTTTACTTCTGCATTTAGGTTTGTAGGTATGAACATGACAGCTGATGGAAAACTTTCAATCTTAGCAGGAAATAGAAAATTCAGAATGGAACTGTCCATCAGATTATCATTTTATTGCAAAAATTACCCAAACTTAATTAGATGTTATCCCTACAACACAGTCCTAGAAATGATGGGGGACTGGAAGATGCTATGTTCCAGGGCTGAAGTGTACAACAGTGGTGAAGTGGGAGAGGCTTTCATTATAAATTTGAACAAAGTAAAAGCAGGTGGGAGGGCATCACCTGGAGATGCAGAGTGGGAAAGGCTGAGGCCGTGATAGTGAAGAGAGGGCTGCAGCACTGGAGATCAGCCCCTTGGCAGACAGAGTTGCAGACTCATGTGGGGCAGGAAAGCAGGGGTCATTGAAGGTCTGTTAATAAAATACTGAATTTCCTCCACCTTTTCTTGTTTTGCATTAATTATGTGGTTGTGGGTAAGGAAAATAAAGTAGGGACTGAATGAGGTTCAATAAAGGAATTAGTCTGGAGACTAGAGAATTGGTGTATTATGCTCCAGAACAAGAACTGCTTTATTTTGGTATTTCAAGGACCTTTATCCTAACACCTGGTTTCTGCCCTATTCCCTTCAAAGCAAAGTGTGACATGTTTTGTTTTTTTTATCCTCACCTGAGGACATTTTTCGATATTTTGTTCAGATGGAGAGAGAGAGAGAGAAACATCGACGTGAAAGCGACACATCGAGTGGTTGCCACCCACACGACCCAACCAGGGCTGGGGACAAACTGCAACCAAGGTACATGCCCTTAGCGGGAACTGAACCCGGGTCTCTCCGGACCGCAGGCCGACGCTCTAACCGCTGAGCCAAACGGGCCAGGGCGCAAAGTGTGACATTAAACCAGCTCCACCATCTGTGGAGAGTCCCAGCTGTTTTCTGATAGTCTCTTCAGTATCGACGGGGCTAGGAAGCAAGAGACTTGAAAGTCTTCAATGTCAAAGAAATAATATGTCTGAGATTTTATAAAATAGGAAAAAATTACTCGAGAACAGATACTCAGGAGAACCAAACATTTAAAATGGAGATTGAGTCAAGAAATAATTGCAAATAAAAAGTAAATCCAGCCCTGGCCGGTTTGGCTCAGCAGTTAGTCGGCCTGCGGTCCGAGAGACCCGGGTTCGGTTTCCGCTAAGGGCACGTACCTCGGTTGCAGTTTGTCCCCGGCCCTGGTTGGGTCGTGCAGGAGGCAGCCACTCAATGTGTCCCTTTCACCTCGATGTTTCTCTCTTCCTCTCTCTCCCTCCCACTCTGAATGAACAAAAAATGGAAAAATGTCCTCGGGATAAAAAATAATAATTTACGGCTCTGACTGGTTTCACTCAGTGGTTAGAATGTGGACCCACGGACCATAGGGTCTGGGGTTTGAATCCCTGTCAAAGGCATGTACCTTTGTAGATTCAATACCCTGCCCTGGTCCAGATCCTGCAGGCAACCAATTGATGTGTCTCCCTCATTTTCTCTCTCCCCCCTCCTACTCTTAAAAAATCAATGGAAAAAGATCCTCAGATGAGGATTAACAACAGCCAAAAAAACAATGAATTTACCATGCTCTCTAGCACCCACCCCTGCCTCTCCTATCCCCTTTCTTCCCTCAAGGCACCTGCCATTCTTTCTCCTTCCCTTCAAGAGCTCTTCTTTTACCTCTGTACCTTGCTTCCCGAGTCCACGCAGTCCCAGCGGCTCGTTTCTACCTCTTTCACTTTCTAAACATACTTTTGTTTGTATTTGAGTTCCTTGGCTCGAATTCTTTTTAACTGATTTTTTTACTGATTGATTTTAAAGAGAGAGAAAAAAACATCCATGTGCCCTGACCAGGAATCCACTCCGCAACCTTCTCCGTGTGTGGGACGACGCTCCAACCAACTGATCCACCCGGCCAAGGCCGGAGAAATATTTTTAGAAGACAGGCAGGCGGTACCCCAAAGGTAAAAGGGGGGGCCCACCCTCTCCGAGTTCGCAGACTATTCTAAGGGGGACGCCGGCAGCAGCTGCAGACCGAGCAGTCCGAGATGTCTCCGCCCCGCCTCTCAGCGTCTCCCAGGCGCTGGGGGGCCCGGCTCGCCCATAGCCTAGGAAGAATCGCTGCCCAGTATCGCGGAGGACTTCATTGGCCCGAAGCCAGTGGGCGGAGGTTCCTTTTGGCCCGAAGCCAGGAGACTCCCATTGGTCGAAGGCTCAACAAACAAAGTTTCCATTGGTTGGACGTTGCAACGCGCCGCGCGGCCTTCTGGGAGTTAGAGTCGCAGCGTCGCCGGCGCGGCCGCCATTGTCCGGCGGGCAGCGAGTCGAGCGGTTCCTGAGGCGTGGGCGGTTCTGGGGTTTAAGGTCGTCCCAGGCTCCTGTCCTCGACCTGTCGGTCCAGGATGGATCCCGAAGAGGAAGCAGCAGCATTGGTGATGGCTACGCGGCCGCCGACGAAACGGTTGCAGGTATCAGTAATAACAATAACAACGGTGGCAGCGGGCCCGGGCCGTCTCCCAAATTCTGACCCTTTTAACCCTCTTGGCGCGCGATGAGCAGAGCACAGGCATTATCTCCCGTGACACACGGGGAAACTGAGGCGCAGGTCGGCGGGCTCGGACTGACACAGCTGCTGAGGGTAGGGGTCGGGATTCGAATCCCGGTTTCTCTGGTCCAAGAGTGCGCATGCTTAGCTCCTACTCTCGGCGACATACCCCCTCCCCCGCCCCGAATGCAGACCCACGCGATGATGGGTAATAGGTATTGTCGACTAGAGATGCTCTGAGACGAGTCAGCAGACACCCACCGAGGGCCTGGCTTTGCGCACCACGGGGGGTAAGGAGAAGTCACCCTGCACCCCGTTAGTGCAGCGGAACAAGGGTTTACGAGCCGCCACACTGGGGACAGCATTGCAGGGCGGCCAACCCCTGTGGAAGGCCCCGATCCACAGCTCCAGTGATTCTAGACCTGCCTGTATCTTCCGTTAAGTGCTGTTTCTCCTGCTCGGTAGGAGACAAAAGTCATTCATTTTACCTGAAGATGGCATCTTTGAACTTAAGTGCTTCCGGCCTCCCCCCCTCACCAGAGGATATTTTTTCCATTGATTTTTTTAAAAATAATTTTTTAATTGATTTGAGAGAGAGAGGAAGGGAGAGGGAGAGAGAGAGAAAAACGTCCATGTGAGAGAACATCAATCGGCCTCCTCTTGCATGCCCCCCACTGGGGATTGGACTGACAAGCTGGGCACACCATAATTCAACTGGCACCGCTCAATCAATGGGATGATGTTCAATCCAGTGAGCCACATCTGCCAGGCTAAATTTTTTTTTAATTTTATTGATTGATTTCAGGGATAGTGAGAAAGAGAAACATCAATTTGTTGTTTTACTTATTTAAGCATTCATTGGATGATTCTTGTTCCGGGATGCCTTGTTCCGGGATCAAACCCCCAGCCTTAGTGTACTGTATGGGGATAGTGCTCTAACCAGCTGAGCTATTCAGCCAGGGCTATATCTTCTTTTTTTTTTTTTTTTTAATCCTCACCCGAGGATATTTTTCCACTTTTTGTACAGATAGAGTGGGAGGGAGAGAGAGGAAGGGAGAGAGAGAGAGAAACATTGACATGAAGGGACACATCGAGTGGCTGCCACCCACACGACCAACCAGGGCCGGGGACAAACTGCAACCGAAGTACGTGCCCTTAGCGGGAACCGAACCCGGGTCTCTCCGGACCACAGGCCGACGCTCTAACCGCTGAGCCAAACCGGCCAGGGCTATCTTCTTTAATATTTTCTTCATATCTTCTTTGTCCCTTTTGCTTAGGTAATTTTTATTATTTAGTTGTAAGAGTTCTTTGCATCTTCTGCATAGAAGTTTTTTATCAGATAAGTGTTTTATCAGTATCTCCCATTACATGGGTGTCTTTCCACTAGAGTATTCTTTGGTGCACAAAAGTTTTTCATTATGGTGAAGTTCAATTTATTTATTGCTTGTCCTTTTGCTGTCATATGTAAGAATCCTTTGTCAAACCCAAAGTTGTAAAGGTTTATCCCTACGTTTCTTCTAATAGTTTAACTCTTACATTTATGTGAGGTAAGGGACCAACTTAATTTTTTTGCATGTGGCTCTCTGGTTGTCCTGTAGGAAGTATTTAACAGCTAGTTAGTCCCACCATAGCCCCCAAGGAGAGGAGGAGGCAGATGTGGGTCCCCGTTCTGTACTTCTTGAGGAAATGGCAATGCCAAGACTCATATCTAGCTTCTTTTTTAAGCAATATGTAATTTTTTATTATTGCCCACAGACATCCCATTCTTAACCATTCCCATAGACCCAACCCACCCAGCCCACTCTAGCTTTTGACTAGTCACAGCCAGCCCACAAAAGGGTTTCCTTTGTGGGACACATTTTACTTTATTATTTTTTAAAAATTTTATTTCCTTATTTTATTTCATTTTAATCCACACCGGAGGACATTTTTGCACTTATCTTCAGATAGAGCAGGAGGGAGTGAGAGAGGAAGAGAGAGAGAGAGACATTAATGGCTGCCACCCACACGACCCCACTGGGACCAGGTACAAACCGCAACCAAGGTACATGCCCTTAGTGGAAACTGAACCCGGGACTCTCAGGTCTGCGGGCTGACGCTCTAACCACTGAGCAAAAACAGCCAGGGCTATTATTTTTTTAATCCTCACGAGAGGATATGTTCATTAATTTTTAGGGAGAGAGAAACATAAATCATTGCCTCCTATACGTGACTAACCGGGGCCAGGGATCAAACCCGCAACCTAGGCATGCACCTCAACCAAATTGAACCCATGACCTTTCAGTGTATGGGAAAGACACTCCAACCAAGGGATCCACACTGACCAGGGCTTCGGGACATATTTTAAATACATTGTGTCAGCTTACAAAAATTAAAAGTTTTTAATCCAAATCATGACCTAATTTTCAGATTCTCACCAGAGATTGGCAGTTCTATCACTTGAGACCTGTATTTCCCCACAATCGAGCCCCAGCTGTCCCTTCAGATGGCACATAGTACCTCTCCCCTCTAGTGGCACCTCTCACAGGTTAAATACCCTGGTGTAGGCTCTCACACTGGCCCAGTTCAGTCCGTTGTGATCCTGTTTGGTCCCTGAAGGCAGATGAGTTTCTGACTCTTAACTGTACATTCCTTTTTTCAGAGATGATGACAAACCTTGCTCTGAATTGAGTATTAGTGAATCAGCTAACTAGCTGCGTAACAAATTATCCCAAATCTAGTGCCGTGAGACAGGAACCATTTTTTTTGGCCCACAGATCTGCAAGTCAGCAGTCAGTCTCTGTTGGCACCCTCACCTGTCTCAGTTCAGTTGTGGATCAGCTGTGGATGGCCCTGATCTTGCTGGATGCTCTCACATGTCCTTGCTGTGCAACCCACTCCTACATGCAGCAGCCCATTAGGATCCCAGCAAGAGTTGGCTCATCGTCCAGAACATGTACTCTCTTTTTTTTTTTTTTTTTTTTTTTTAATCCTCACCCGAGGATATTTTTCCATTTTTTGTACAGATAGAGTGGGAGGGAGAGAGAGGAAGGGAGAGAGAGAGAGAAACATCGACGTGAAGGGACACATCGAGTGGCTGCCACCCGCACGACCAACCAGGGCCGGGGATAAACTGCAACCGAAGTATGTGCCCTTAGCGGGAACCGAACCCGGGTCTCTCCAGACCGCATCCGACGCTCTAACCGCTGAGCCAAACTGGCCAGGGCTCTCTCTTAAGGACATTGGCCTGCCTGTCTTTTCTTTCCCCATTCCTCTTCCTTTTCCTGAAAGCACTGATGGGGTCAATCCAGCCAATTGAGCCTGTGTGTGATGTTTCAGGAACCAGTGACCTTCCGGGACGTGGCTGTGGACTTCACCCAGGAGGAATGGGGGCAGCTGGGCCCTGCACAGAGGACCCTGTACCGTGATGTGATGCTGGAGACCTTCGGGCACCTGCTCTCTGTGGGTGAGGCCCGCTTCCTGAGCTGATGGGCAGATTCCTGCAGTAACTTGTTCTTCATGGGTAATAGGGCCTCTGATATGATGACTTGACCTTGGGTTAGGGATCAGGGACCTTGGGTTCTCCTTCCCTGAGGGACATGAGTCAAAGAGGTATCTGCCCTTTTATGTCTCATTGTAAAGCTTTCACCTTGTTGTGTGGCATCCCCTGTCCTGGGCTGGAGGCTGGGCTGGTTGTTTGTGTCTAGAACAGAACCCTATATTCTGTGTCTTCCCTGTTTTCAGGGCCTGAGCTTCCCAAACCTGAAGTCATCTCCCAGCTGGAGCGAGGTGCTGAGCTGTGGATGGCAGAGAGAGGACTAGCCCAGGGCTGCTCTCCAGGTGAGAACAACCAACTGTGAGCCCCTTTCAGGAGCGCTGTTTGGAATGGGTGGTGTGCCAAGTCCCCTAAACCATCTTCAGATCCAGTGATCACAGCAAAAGTTTAAGGGGAGATTTCATAAAGGGAAAAGATGGGTGGGGCAAAGTCCAGAGGAAGCCAGGTTCAAGATCACTATTCCCATGGTGCTGAGTCTGTGGTGGTGGTTGCAGCAGCCAAAGGAAACGGGTTCACCTGCACTTCACTGCACCGTGAGGAGGGGGGCCCTACTGTGTCTGAAGGATTCAGCACTACAGCACCCCCAAGGTGTCCTGAAGACGTGGCACCTCCACTTATATGTGGCTTGTCTGACTCAGGGTTTTTAAAACAGCAGCTCGCCAGTGTGACTCTGTGGTTGAGTGTCGATCCATGCACCAAGAGGTCGCTGGTTCGATTCTTGGTCAGGGCACATGCCCAGGTTGTAGACCAAATCCCCAGTGGTGCGGAGGCATACTGGAGGCAGCCAGTCGATGTTCTCTCTCATCAAAGTTTATATTTCTCTCTCCCTCTTCCTTCCTCCCTCTCTAAAAGTCAATAAAGGAAAAAAAATTAAATAAAAAAATAAAACTGAGCTGCTCATTTGCCCCAGCCCCGAGCCTGCTACTTCATGTTTCCTTCAATGTCTGCTCCCCAGCTCCTGTAGGCAGGTCTCTCCATCTTTTGGAGTCATTGCTTTATCCACAGCATCTGGGGCCAGACAGTAAATATTTTAGGCTTTGCAAGCTGTGTGTAGGCTCCAATATTTGTTTTTTCTTTTCTCTTTAATCCCTACCCGAGGATACTTTTCCATTTATCTTCAAGTAGAGTTGGAGGGAGAGAGGGAGATAGAGAGACACGTCAATTGGTTGCCTCCCTCATGACCCTGATCAGGGCCAGGGACCAAACTGCAACCGAGGTACATGCTTTTGACAGGAATTGAACCCACGACTCTTTGGTTTGCAGGCCGACGCTCTAACCACTGAGCAAAACCAGCCAGGGCTCCATATTTTTTTTCTATCAGCACCGTAACAAATTACCACAAACATAGCAGCTTAAGACAACACACATTCATTGTCTCACAAGTCTGTCAATTAGACCTGACTGGTTTTTCTGCTCTGGGTATCACAGAGCTAGAGTCAAGGTGTCAGCCAAGCTGGAGGTGGGGGCTTACTGGGGGTCATGTGAAGACTCCACATCCAGGCTGTACCAGGTCACTGGCAAAATTCAGCTCTGTGTCCTAGCACTGAGTTCCTGGGTGTTTGCAGACTGTCATCCAAGGGCTGTTCTCAGCTACAAGAGGCACCTGCACTTCCCTGTGCACCTGCCTCACCTCCTTCCTCCCTCTACTCGTAAACGTTGAGGAGATTGCTTTGGGCCTGCCTGTATAACCCAGCATCATCTCCTACATTTTTAAAATAAGTTTCTCTAGATTTTAGAGAGAGAAAGAAATGTTGATGTGAGAAGCATTCAGTTGCCTCCCTCATGCACCTTGACTTGGATTGAACCCACAACCTATGCATGTTCCCTGACTGGAAATCAAACTGGCGACCTTTCTAGTTAACTAGCTGAGCCAAACCAGCCAGGGCCCATGTCCCTATTTTAAGGTTTAAGATCAGCTGATGAGTGACCTACCTGTTACCTGCAGAACCCTCCTTCACAGCAGTACCTCATGACTTGTCTGATTGACAGCCAGGGGACAGCATTAGAATCCTGCCTGTCTCTTGGATTTTTTTTCCCCTACAGCCTTTAAAAGCATAAAAACTTGATTACTTAAGTTATATAATGTCTAGTCACTGGGTTGTACACCTGAAACAAACATAATATCGTATGTCAACTGTAATTGAAAAATAAAAAAACTGTTTCAAGTGTATGTCAACATAAAAGCGGACATTTGCCTGGGAGCAGGGCAGGCAGTTGGGGTGTAGGCCTGAGCTGTAAAGGTCCTGTCTCCTCTGCGTGTTTTTTCCTCTGACCCCTCAGTGCTCTTTGCTTTCTTTCAGGCTGGGAACCTGGACCTGAAAGCCCGGTGCCACCCACGGAGCAGGTCCTTTCTGAGGAAGAGCCATCCTGTGTCATGGAAAGGGCAGGCTTCCTTGCGGATGCTGCCTGTCCTGCCACACTAGGGGAAGGCTGGGACTGTGTGGGCCTGGTCAAAGCACCTGAGAAGGACCAGGATAGTTCAAGGCAGTTGGAATTTTGCCTTGAGGAAGTACCAGTTCAAGAGAGAAGCCACGAAAGTCTCAGACTTGGGGAAGATTGTGTCTCGAGTTCAAACCTAAGTCTGTTCCCAGAGATTTCTGGGAGAAAATATTTTTGTACTCCCGACTCACAGGTCACAGATTTGGGGAGTCACCCACGCTCAGTCAGTCAGCAGACGGGCTCAGGAGAGCTGAGGGACAGTGCTGACTGCAAGGCAATGTCCCCTCAGGCCATTCCTGTTTCAGAGCTCACACCAAGCCCCATACAGGAGAAACCCTACAAGTGCACGGACTGCGGGAAGTCCTTTAACCACAACGCGCACCTCACAGTGCACAAGAGGATCCACACAGGGGAGAGACCTTACATGTGCAAAGAGTGCGGGAAAGCCTTCAGCCAGAACTCCTCACTGGTTCAGCACGAACGCATCCACACAGGAGATAAGCCCTACAAGTGTGCCGAGTGTGGGAAGTCCTTCTGCCACAGCACACACCTCACTGTGCACCGCAGGATCCACACCGGGGAGAAGCCCTATGAGTGCCAGGACTGCGGGAGGGCCTTCAACCAGAACTCCTCCCTGGGCCGGCACAAGCGGACACATACTGGAGAGAAGCCGTACACCTGCAGTGTGTGTGGGAAGTCCTTCTCTCGAACCACGTGCCTGTTCCTGCACCTGAGGACTCACACTGAGGAGAGGCCCTATGAGTGCAACCACTGTGGGAAGGGCTTCAGGCACAGCTCCTCCCTGGCCCAGCATCAACGCAAGCATGCTGGCGAGAAGCCCTATGAGTGCCGCCAGAGGCTGATCTTTGAGCAGACGGCAGCTCTCACCAAGCACCAGTGGGCTGGCACCCTTGGCTGCGACCCACCTTTGAATCCAGGTGAGACAGCTCAGAGGAGCGACAGGCCCTTTAAGTGTGGTCAGTGCGGGAAGTGTTTCATTCAGAGCTCACACCTCATTCGGCACCAGGTAACTCACACAAGGGATGAGCCTCGTGGGCGGAAACGGCGGCGGCAGGAGCAGCCCCTGGGCCGAAGCTCCCATCAACATGTGCACACAGGTGAGAACCCTGGGGGCGGGACAAAGGTGGGACAGCCTGCAAGCAAGGCGCTTGCTTTATTTGACATCCACGAGATCATGCAAGAGAAAAACCCAGTACACGTGATTGGGGTAGAAGAGCCTCCCATGGGTACGTCCATGTTGTTTGACATCAGAGACTCCACATAGGGAGAAACTCTACAGATGACGGAACCGCAGGTACAGAAATGTGGCAAGTTCATGTGGGGTGTTCACCCCATGGGGTAGGAAGGCCCAGGGCGACCTCTGATTTCCTATGAAAGATGCTTCCCCCAACACCTGCGATTGATGGTCCTCGGATCTATCAAGCCCAGTGCCTGCTTTAACCAGGTATTTTGTAATGTTCCCTGTATGACCCTGAAACAGATTCACAGGTAATGTCAAAATAGTCAACATACAGCTCTGTTTTGTAAAGGATGATTAAAACAAAAGTAATTTATGATGGAGTAACGTATACTGAGTTGGTGTGGAAATCTCTCCAAGACTGGGCCATTATGCTGGAAACCCAGCACTGCCTATTGGTTGTCTGGTACATGGGATCTGGGGTTGGTTATGGAAATATTTTGAGGGGCATTCCTGTATGGGATGTGATTTTTCAAAATGGTGTCTCACTCTTGGAAAAGTTTTGAGCAAAACAGGATGCTATTGCACTTCTAGAAAATTCTGTTTAAAATTCTCAGCATGTAGAAATTAATGTGTGTTTATATGTGAAGTCTAATGAGGGTCTAAGTTCACACTACAAACAGGTTGTTTCATCCATACACATAGGGTTCCCAGGGGCCAGTCTTCCCTTCACAGGCATTAGAGCAGCTTGGCTCCCATCCATGTCATCCACTCTTACGCCCAAATCTAACGACACACAAGCCCTGTGAAGTTCCACAGCATTCCCTGGGGCTGCCACAGAGCCTGTGAAAACCATTGGCTCGGAACAGCTAGTGTTGCTGTCAGCCACTGGTTCTCAGTTGGTGATGTCTGGCAGAAGGGAGAGGTGCCACTGGCATCCAGTGGGTTCAGGTCAGGGATGCTGCTTAACATCCTATAGTGCCCACACATGCCACAGTAGAGAGAGCATGCCCAGCCCTATAGCTCATGTATTTCAAACTAAATTGATTGATTGGAGCTTTACTAACAATTCTCCACATGTGATTTTAACAAGTTAAATCATTAGCTAGTTAATGCACATGTTTTTTAGTAATATTTTTTTGTTGTTGTTGTTCAGATAGAGTGGGAGGGAGAGGAAGAGAGAGAGAGGGAAACATCGATGTGAAAGGGACACATCGAGTGGCTGCCACCCGCACGACCAACCAGGGCCGGGGACAAACCGCAACCGAAGTACGTGCCCCTAGCGGGAACCAAACCCAGGTCTCTCGGGACCGCAGGCCGACGCTCTAACCGCTGAGCCAAACCGGCCAGGGCTAGTAATTTTTTTTTATCAGTATTTGTAATTGGTGGGGAGAAAGGAAGGGAATCCATTTATTTTTCTGAGTAATGTAAATCATAAAGTGGGAACATTATATTTTCACTAGTACTCCTACCTGCCACAGGATTCTTTTCACATTAGTCCCAGAAATTGTCATTTTCATCCATTTTTCTGAACATCTTTCTCAAAGGCAAGGACTTTTACAAATATATATATGACTCTGTCGGTCCATGGAGATCAAACCATGTTCATAATCACACTGATCTGTCATTTGCCTTGTTCATAGTGTTAGTGTTTGCATGGAGAGGGTGAAAGTGCTAGGGCCTGAGTGTGAATCAGAACGGTGCCCCAAAGTGGTGTAGTTTGTGGACTTCCTCACCAGGCATGGCAATAAAGGAAAAAAAATGCTTAGTTCACTTTGGAATGTCTGTGATGAAGCAGGAAAAATTAATTTTATGAAATCTCAAAACTATATAGCCGTTATCACATCTAAGCAGAAATTCCAATAGTTCCTCAATTTGTCATCAAATATCTTGTGTTCAGAAGTTCCTGGTTGCCTCACAAATTGTTTTGTTTTCTATTTGGTTTGTTTAATTGGGATCTAGACAAGATTCACACAGTGCATTTGGTTGTTGTTTTTTTGTTTTTTGTTTTCTCTAGTATTAGCAACAAAAACAAACAACTTCCACATGGTTGGAATTTTTTGTAGGACTCTCAACCTGTAGGCCTCCCTCTTTTCTATTCTTTTATTGCTTCTGGGGGGAAATTTGTCTCCATCTCCAGCCTGCCCATCAGACGCTCCTTGCTTTGACCTGATGGAATGCCTTCTGATTTGACCTCACACTACTGGATGTGCTGGAGTGCCTTGTGAATTGTGTGACTCCCACCTTGTATGGGGTCTCTCCTGGAGATCCCAGCTGTTGGTGCCAGATAAAGCCAGACTACTGAGAAAATGGTTTATTTCTGTATGACGCAGGACATGCTCATGTTACCATTAATGTCCTCAGTTGCAAACTTCACCTCTACCGTTTTAACCACTTTCCTCCAATTTTACACCTGAAAGCCAAGCTCTCTGACCTTGGTCCATATGGTTGTTGACATACACAGGAACACTGTGATTGAGGTATGATTCTTGGTATATAAAAACCCAAGATTTGCCTGGCCAGTGTAGCTCAGTGGATTGAGCGTTGTCCCATGGACTGAGAGGTCCCGGTTCAATTCCCGGTCAGGGCACGTGCCTGGGTTGTGGGCTCAATCCCTGGTTGGGGGGTGTGCAGGAGGCAGCCAATCAATGTTTCTCACATCAATGTTTCTGTCTCTCTCCCTCTCTAAAAAATCAATAAAAACATTTAAAAAAAAAATCCCAGGATTTAAACATGCCTGCTTTCTAACCTAAAGTGAAGCAAAAGTGGACCATCCATAAGTAAAATGACTGTCTCAGTGCACATTAATTTATATGCTCCATGATACAGACGTTGCCTTTTTTTGTTTGCTTTTCTCACTGCAGTTGTATTCTAGTGGAGTTAGACATATCCCATAAACATTAAAAATTGGAAGCTACACTGATCACAGCCCATCTCAGATCATAGGAATTGTTTCCTAAAAACGTCCTGCAGAAGGAATATTGGGCTGGCCACACGTAGAGTTGAAGGGAAGACAGAGCATCCTGGACCAGTAGGGCAGCAATTCTGAGGGCTGTGTCAGAGTGACAGAGCTTCAGCACTCACTGCCCAGAATTACGATTAATCATCAAAAATACATGGTTTAATTTGTTGATAAAAGTAATGCACATTTTTGGTAGCAAAACCTGGAAAATGCACAAAAGTAAAAACAACAAAAGTATGAACATTTCTTTAAAATTTAATTCTTTGTTTTTTCTTTATTGATTTTTAGAGACAGGAAGGGAGAGGGAGAGATAGAAACACCAATGAGAGAGAACGTCGACTGGCCACCCTCCTGCATGTCCCCCATTGGGGATTTGGCCCAAAACTTAATTCTTTATACTTCCACCATCCACAGATGGTCATTACCACTAAGATTTTGTTAATTTTCTTTGTAATCTTTTCTTTAAAACTACATGTGTATGTATATACAGGGTGGGGCAAAAGTAGGTTTACAGTTTGTAAAATAAATAATGCAAGAATAAACTCTGTTTTGCATACTTACAACTGTAAACCTACTTTTCCTCCACTCTGTATAGTGAAACACCAAATCTTATATGCACAAAAAATATATAAACATGTACATAGTAATTTTGTGTTTAAAAAGTTGGATTCCCTTCTACTTCTCTGTAACGTGCTTCTTTATTTTGAGCATTTTTCTGTGACAGTGAATTTCTTATACCTTTTTAAATTACCTTTCAGGAGGATTGTAGCAATGTGCCCTCACCCAGCCCAGCATTTTACCAGCCTTGACTTTTATTAAAAAGTATAAGTTTCCTACAGTTTCCAGGAGCATAAATTGACAGTCTCTAGGGAGGGCGGTTTCTCAGTTGCTAAGTGACACACAAACCCCTTGTCTCAGCAAACCTTCTGCTGGAAATAAATTCTACAGATGTGCAGACTGTTTGTACATGGTATTGATTTCAAAAGTAAAAATTTGAAACCACCCTCAGCATCAAACATGGGGGAACTAGCTGAATGATCCATGGTGTGAAATGGAGAACTACCCAGCCTTAAAAATGGGACTGTCTTCATGTACTAATGTGGAAGAGCTCCAAGACACATTGTTAAGTAAAAAGGTGTGAACAGTATATATAGTGTTTCCTATTTGTGTAAAGAGGAAACATTTGCTCTCACACAATCTCTAAGGGTGCAAAGTAACCAATTGCTCTTGGGAAGGGAGAAATGGGAAAGGAATGAGGAATAATTTTCACTCTATATCTTTTGATATTTTTGGAATTTTGAAACATGTAAAAGTATTGCCAGTTCAAAAAATAAACAAAAATCTCAACTCTTTCAAGTCAAAGTAAGTTTAATAATTTGTTTCATTGTTTACTGTCTCTTCCACTAAAACATCCGTATGACTGTGTGTCTTGGCCACACCTGTTCTAGATATATACACACACGTGCATGTGTAATCTGTGTGTTAACAGCACCCATTTAATGTAAAATAGCTTTGACTCCATGATGTTTCCTGCAAGCTGGTTGTAGCACATCAATTTCCAAGTTATTTTATTAAAGTTTCCTGTGTTGGCCCAACTTATGAAAGCATACACACAAACTGGCCAGCAGGTGAGTACCCCATTTTCAGTATGTCCTTCCTTGCACATCCTTAGAGATATTTCAAGTCCTTTGTGCAAAAGGTAACTGAGAAGAAATCAGTCCAGTCTGAAAAGCAATCTCTTGTAGGCTTTTGTAAGGAGATTGGAGGTGAAGTCAGCCAGGATGTGCTGTCCATCATGCTAGCCACTAGCCACAGGTCGCTATTTAGATGTAATGTTAAATTAACCAAAGTTAACAAAAATACAGTTCCTCAGTCACAATAGCCACATTTCAACTGCTCACTAGTTCCAAATAAAATTTTTTCATCATCATCTCTCCCTTGTGATCAACTGACTAGTGGAAATGAAGAAGAATATTGCCAGGTCAGCCAGCATGAGGAGCCTGCTTCACCAAGTGACACAGGCCTCTCACCTGAAGATGGCATTTTCAGGTCTCACATTGTACCCAGGAACAGCCCTTAATTAGGGACGGTAATTGGCATCACACAGGGCCTATCCATTGATTTTTAGGGAGTCATTGCAGATACACAGAAAAATGAATGTACAGGAACACATTGCATGTGTTTATAGTAGCTCAATTTCCAGGTGGGGAGGGAGAGTGTGATTTTTTAATTTATAATGTATATTTGTCCTGCATCCTCTTTCTGGCACAGCTAAATAAAACCTGTGGAATGTCATAAGTGATGAGAGAATAAAGGTGTCTTCTTAGGTGAATGAGATGACTTTTAGAAAGCCTGTGAATAACCTAAGGGTGGGGGCTGGTTGCTGGAAGAACCAACCCTGTGATTGGAAGGTTGGAACTTCTAGTCCCACATCCCTGACTTACCAGAGGGGAGAGGGGCTAGGGGCTGAGTCAATAAGCAACAGGGATAACGTTTAATTTATAAATTCCAGCACTTTAAGATATTAACAAATAAGGCAATTAAGGTGGGTGGGGCCTAATTCAACGTGGTGTCCTTATAAAAAGGGGAAATTAGCCCTGGCTCAGTGACTCACTTGATCGAAGCATTATCCTGTACACCAAAAAGGTTTCAGGTTTGATTCCAGGTCAGGGCACCTGCCTGGATTGTGGGTTTGGTCCCTAGATGGGATGCCTAGGGGAGCTAGCAGATGGATGTTTTTCTCTCCAAATAAAATATCCTCAGGTGAGGATTACAACAAAAAAGGGGAAATTTGGAGACATAATCATTCAAGCAGGCATCCACTGTGTCACAGTCACACCCATGATCACAATCACAGTCACTGTAGTAACATACAGTGTAATCATAATGTGATTTTCAGGCCCCCATCACCTCCATGTCTGTCTCAGGCACCATCACACATTGTGACAGCCACACACATCTATGCAGTTACATATGGTGACTAACACAAAGGTCTTTCACACACAAAAAATACCCATGCATGGTCACAGTGACAACGCACAGCCCAATCTCCAAGTCACCCATGAGAGACCTGGAATCACCTGTACATGGTCACAATGAGCCACACACTACACGATACTCCTCACACCAGCACCCACATTCTTCACATATCCTTCACCCCCATGCACCAAGCACTGTTCCACCTGTCCACGGCCCAGCTAGACCCTCCACTCATCTCCACCCTGCTCGACAAAAGCCCACCTGGACTACAACTCCCAACGTGCCCCAGGTTCCTGGAGGGGCACCTGCGTGGCACCTTCCAGCAACTATAACCTAGGCTGTGGGACGCGGGACATGCCGGGAGTAGTCCGGTTGGCTCCGCGGCGCATTCTGGGAGTTGTGGTCCTGGTGTGCTGCGTAGCGCATTGTGGGAGTTGTGGTCTCGACAGGCGGGCGCGCAAAAGAGCTCCTTAGGGCACCTCCGCGTCCACTCCCGGAAGTGTCCGCTCGCCCCTCGGATGAGGTGGGTCCGGGTGGGCTTTCGCCGGGGTCCAGCCGGGAAACCGCGAGCGCAGGCGGTGGCACAAGCGAGATGTGTGGGACCTGGCCGCGGTCGGGAGTGAGGGGCTGACTACCGGCCACGCGAGCAGCGACTGACGCTAGTGAGTGCAGGGTCGAGTGTGGGAAGGACCGACGGACCGAGCGTAGAACCGACTGATCAAATGTGGGGCCCGCTGACGGGGTGCAGGGTCGTGTGATGTGCCTGACGGTCGAGCCGTGGTGCCGGACACCTCTTGGGGGACGGGTTGGGCGTGTGTGGTCCGCAGATGGGAGGAGCGTCTGGCCGACCCGCTCAGGTGTGCGACTGACGAAAATGGCGGCTGTGGGATGTCAGTGGGTAGTGTGATCGCGGGAGGGGGTGTGTGTGACAGAGCCCGTATCTGACCGGCCGAGATGGTGACTAGGAGATGATCAACGGCCGTGGAATGACCCTGTGTGACAGAGATGCTGCGAGGTTGTGTGTTGACTGTGTGTGACACAGGAACTGTGTGTGCTTGGCCCTGGCCGGGCGGCTTAGGTGGTCAGAGCGTCGCCCAGTTCACTGAAAGGTGGCAGGTTCAATCCCCAGTCAGGGCGCATACCTGTGCAGCAGGTTCCACATCCAGTTGGGGCACGTTCGGGAGGTCACCTATCCCTGTTTCTCTCTCACATCGATGTTTTTCTCTCTCTCTGGCTACCTTCCTCATTCTCTAAAATCAACTAAAAATTTTTTTAAAAAAAGAAAAGGCTATTGTGTGTGCCTGGGAATATATGGGGGTCTGACTGACAAACTGCCTGAGATAGGGTGTGTGCATGTAACTATGCGATTGACTGAGATTTTCGTCCCGGGGACTGAAATGTGGGCGATTTGCAGTGTTTATCAAGGATGTGACAAAGAAATTGTGTTTTGCCTTGTCTGCAGCTGACATTGTGTGACCGACACTTTATGGATATGTCCTCCGGTGCCTTCTGGAAGCTTAAGTCTGGCAGGGGGTTTGTGGAGTCATCAGACTGGATGTTTGCTGCATGTTTGCTGTGAGCCCAGCCTGTGCTGGGCACTCATTATGGATCACCTCGGGTGACCTCGCCACAACCCTCTGAGGTAGGTGCGGTGATCAGACCAGGTATAAGAAAGGCGCGAGAGAAATGAAAGAACCACTCTCCTCAGTAGATTCAGGAGTTGTGGATGGGGGACCTCAACCTGATGTGTTTTCATATCTGTAAATTGGAAAGAAAGTGTCCACCTCCTGAGTCTTTCATGAGTTTTGTTTTGTTTTTTTATCCTCACTCGAGGACATTTTTGCACTTTATCTTGAGATATAGAGTGAGAGGGAGAGAAGGAGGAAGAGAGAGAGAGAAACATCGATGTGAGACACATCAAGTGGTCACCACCCACACGACCCCAACCAGGGCTGGGGACAAACTGCAACTGAGGTACGTGCCCTTAACGGGAACTAAACCCAGGACTCTCCGGTCTGCAGGCCGACATGTAACCTCTGAGCCAAGCCGTCCAGGCATGTTGTGAGTTTTAAATGAATTATTATGGCCCTGGTTGGTCATGCGGGTGGCAGCCACTCGATGTGTCCCTTTCATGTCAATGTTTCTCTCTCTCTCTCTCTCTTCCTCTCTCTCCCTCCCACTCTATCTGAACCAAAAAAAAAAACAAACTGAAAAATGTCCTCGGGTGAAGATAAAAATAAATTAATTAATTAATGAGTTACTATAGACAAGCATTGGGAATGGCACTTACCACCAGCTGGGTGCTGTCCTGGTTATTTTGAGGATCTGTTTTTTTGTGAGTCAGTCACGTCTCAGGCCCCAGGCGAGTGTCTTCCCTGTTCTGCAGGTATGAGGCAGCACCCCAGGTTCCCTGATGACAAAGTTCTGATCTTCCTGCAGACCAAGATTCAAGGCTCACCGGAGTGTTGCTGCCGGATGGCCACCGCCCAGGTCCCCCTGAACCTGATGCCCTGGGAACAGGATGGCATCTTTCAAGTGAAGGTGGAGGATGAGGAAGCCAGCCTCTCCCAGGTCCAAGAATGTAGCCTTGGCAACACAGCCCACCCTGAGGCTGCACGTCTGCGCTTCCGGAGCTTCTGCTATGAGGAGGCATCCAACCCGCATGAGGCCCTGGCCCAGCTCCGTGAGCTCTGCTGCCAGTGGCTGCAGCCTGAGGCGCACTCCAAGGAGCAGATGCTGGAGCTGCTGGTGCTGGAGCAGTTCCTCGGCACTCTGCCCCCTAAGATCCAGGCCTGGGTGGGGGCCCAGTGTCCCAAGAGCGGCAAGGAGGCAGCCACGCTGGTGGAGGATCTGACTCAGGCACTGGACAAGAGAGGTGAGGGGCAGTGGCGGGCAGGTGTTCACAGGACACTGCAAGCAGGGGCTGGATGGGAACAGGGGAGAGCAGGGGTCAGAGTTGGGATAGATCAGCATTTGCCCTCTCGTTTGTAATTCACCCAAACTCAAACACTGTGCTAAGCACGTCTATTTTTATGGCTAATAACCCAACACCCAGCTTAGAGTGACTGAAGCAAAGTAGGGAGGCCTCATGGCTATGTCCAGTCAGTTGATGGCATCAGGATTCTTTCTAATCATTCTGTTTCTCAGTTACGTTTTCCTACGGTGCCTTCGTTTTTAAGCCACGTCTCTCCCCAAGGGAGGCAAAGCTGGCCCGGCAACCCCAAGTGGGGAACAGAGAAAGGTCCCCAGGCTGAGCCCTGTGAAATGGTTGGGGTCTTGTCCTTGTCTTTGGCTGACCAGACCCTACAGAATGACATGAGCAAGGGCAGCTCCCCAGAGGAAAACCAGGCTGCTGATACCAGATGAGGGGGTGGGGGACAGAAATGCCAAGTGTCCCTGTTTATCCCCTCTGAACCCTTCCCCCACCCATGCTGCCCTCCAGCGTCTGGGTGACTCAGACCTGCCCTGGGCCTGAGTGGGCAGAGTCACTCTGGAAGAGACCCACACAGATGTCCTGGCCCAGGGCTGTCCCGTGGGACCCTGGGAAGACTCAGCCCTGGGACAGTCAGAAAAGGAAATGAAGGCTCCTCTCAGATGGTGGGGGGGGCGTGCCGTGCACCCAGGAAGAGGTGTGCCCTGGGCAGGCGGAACATGGAGTTTTGACACAGAATAATCATTGGGGCCTGGTAGTCATAGCCACTGCTGTAATTCCTCCTGGCCATGTGACTCCTGTGCCTCAATTTCCCTGTCAGTAAAACAGGAATTGCAGTCATAAACCTACCTCAGTCACTTGAAGCTATCAACAAGGCGATGCTTTTGCAGCATGTGAGATGGCAGCTGTCAGGACAGTTTGTTCAGCTCCTTGAGAAACACTGAAAGGTCGTTCAGATGCCCTCCCTTGGCCCTGTCGGCTGTACCCACACAGATGTCAAAGGGACAGAGAGAGGAGGGAGGGAATAGCCCCATCCTCAGGGTTGAGAAAATCTTCAGAGAAAAGGCAAAATGGTGCTGAAAGGACGAGAGAGAGGCAATAGTCTAGGCAGATGGAGTGGTGGTGCAAATGCCCCATGGTGGATATGGACCTGTGCATTCTGGGAAGGACAGGTTTCTGGAACAAAAGAAAGGGGAAGGCAGAACCCAGCGCATGGCTGGAGGGGTTGAGATAGCTCAGAGGCATCTGGGATTCAAGGACGAGATTCTACAGCTGAAACCCCAGCTTGGCCACTAGCTGTGTGACCGTGTACCAGTTACTCAAGACCTTCCCTCAGCTGGGCCTTCGTTTCCCTGTCTGAAACACACATTGAAGCTGAAATGAGGCAATGGACATTACCCACTGCATTTGTAGTCTAATAATGGCCAGCAGCCCAGGAAGGCCAGCAGTGTGTTCTTCCTGTCTTACAGATCAGGAAACCGAGGGCTAGACAAAGGCAAGATCGCCCCAGGCCCAGAAGCTGGCCAGTGGCAGGACAGGCACTCCCCTACCACAGACACAACCCAATCTCCAGTTGCCCTTAGTCACGCTCTGCCTGCACAGCACTTTATAAAGTCTAGGCCTCAGGCCTCCGGGCTCTGGAAGGCCAGGCTTGCACATCACCCACTCACCCACAGCAATTGTCCACTTGGATTCAAGGTAGAGTCAACTGTGGGAAATTTCACAGTCGCTGGCATCCAGGTTTGATCCTTCATCCAGCACCTGCCGACCCATCCAGGTCCCAAGGCAAGGCGCTGAGTAGAGCGGCACAAATGCAGTGATGGCGAGGACAGACCCCCCCTGCCACGCCCTCTGTCTCATTCTTGGTGTCACTTTCTTTCAAATAAGTTCAACCTCAAGATTTCTCTTCTGACACTTAAGCCCAAATCAGGAGCCTGAAAGACTGGCATTTGGGCCCTTGCCAGCGTTACTCAGTGGCTAGAGCGCTGGTCCGTGCATCAGAGGGTCGAGGTTCGATTTACAGTCAAGGGCACACACCTGGGTTGCAGGTTCCATGGGGTGGGGGTGGGGGGGCAGCCCAGGAAGTACAGCAACTGGTCAGTGTTTTTTCCTCTCACATCGATGTTTCTCTCTCCCTCTTTCTCACTTTCTCTCTCCACTCCCCTTCCTTCCTTCCACTCTCAAAATCAATGGCAAAAATATCCTGGGGTGAGGATTAACAACAAAAAATGGAGTTTGGGGAAAAGGGTTGGGGTGATGATTGGATGCTCTCAAAAGTGATGTAGCTTTCGATAGTATGGGAGATTGGCCCTGTGCCCTTGTCACCCAAGACACCAAGTGAGACACTTCCCTGTGCAAATGGGGCCGCATGTCAGGAGTGGCTCCCGAGTCCCCTTACAGAGTGAGGCCAGTCAGGGTGGAGTGGGGGTGGAGTCGGGGAGGCTGGTGTTGGGGAGGGTTGACGCTGTGGTTCCGATTGTTTCAGGATGGGAGCCAGGATCTGAGCTCTCAGAGGCAAGCTGCAAGCACAGTGATTCGGAAGAGTTAGAGACAGCCACCAAAACCCTGGTGGGTGGCGTTTCCCTGGGACACGGTTTCTGTGACGCCTTCGAACCCCAGGGCATCTCAGACAGGCAGGCGGGTCTCTCAAGGGACATCTGGACAAAGTGTGTCACCCCAGAGACAGATTTCAGGATCGCTCCAGGGTCTCACGAGGAAGCCCCCACGGACCAGCGTCCCTGTGAATCTGCTGCCTTCGGGAACAGCCCCGGTGTGTGGTCACACGTCACTTGGCAAGAGAACTCTTCCAAGGAGAAATTCGGTCCATTGGACGTTTATGGCACGGAGCCTCTGTGCGCGCACTTGGGGCAGACATCCTCCAAGTGCGGGGAATGTGGGAAAACGTTCCGGAGCGCCCCGGCCCGGGAGGCACACCAGAAAAGCCACGCCCAGAAGACGCCCTACACCTGCAGCGAGTGCGGGAAAGCCTTCCGCCGCAGCACTCACCTGGCCCAGCATCAGGTCGTGCACACGGGGGCGAAGCCCCACGTGTGTAAAGAGTGCGGCAAGGCCTTCAGCCGGGTCACTCACCTGACACAGCACCAGCGCATCCACACGGGGGAGAAGCCCTACAGTTGCGGGGACTGTGGCAAAACCTTCAGCCGCAGCACCCACCTCACCCAGCACCAGCGGGTGCACACAGGTGAGCGTCCCTACGCGTGTGAGGCTTGTGGCAAGACCTTCAGCCAGAGCGCCCACCTGACGCAGCACCTGCGCACCCACACGGGGGAAAAGCCCTACAGGTGCAACGCCTGCGGGAGAGCCTTCAGCGACTGCTCGGCCCTTATCCGGCACCTGAGGATCCACTCTGGGGAGAAGCCCTACAGATGCCAGGTCTGTCCGAAGGCCTTTGCGCAGAGCTCCTCCCTCATCGAGCACCAGAGGGTCCACACCGGGGAGAAGCCCTACAAGTGCAGCGACTGTGGGAAGGCCTTCAGCCGCAGCTCCGCCCTCCTGGTGCACCTGCGTGTCCATGTCATGGTGCGGTGATGACCCACCGCTCCACGGTGCCCTGGGGCTCAACAGGAAGAGAGAACCTGAGTTCTAAGGAGCCAGGAAGAACGGGGTGGGCCATCAGTGACTTCCCAAGAATGATGAGGTTCCTAAGGACAGACCTGGGGCTGTCTGGGAGCAACTCTGCATCAGGGGACCCGGATGAATGTAAAGCTACCCAGCTTCTCCGGATCCCACTTTGTCTTCCATCCCCACTAGGCCGTCTCAGAAAGGGGACAGCAGCCCCCAGAATCAGGGTTGGTCCTCAGAGCCAGGGCAGTCAGTGTCATTGCTGTCAGGACTCAGTGCTCTGGGCTGGGCCTCCAAATTCAATTTCCTGTTTCTTGCCTGCCTAGCCCAGGAGGGACACTGCCCATGCCACCTCTGTGCCTTTTTTTTTTTTTTTTTTTTTTTGAGAGGGAGGGAGTATGGAGAAAAAGAGAGAAACGTCGACTTGTTCCACTTCATTTATGCATTCATTTTTTGTATGTGCCCTGACCATGGATCAAACCTGAAACCTTGGAGTATCAGGATGACCTTCTAGCCAACACAGCTACCCAACCAGGGCCCACCTCTGTGCCTTTCCACCAGCTATTGCACTCCACTAAATTACATCCAACTCCAAGGCTGGTTTTCGAGGCTGCCTCTTCTGTGAGGCCTTCTCCAGGCACGGCCTCTCTTTCATCCTGCTGTCTTCACCAAGTGTCAGCGTTTGTTTGTGCCTCTCCCCCTCCTTCCACATCCTCCCAGCCACTGGTCCTGTTGGTTTTACCTAAACTCCTTCTACTTTTTTTTCTTATCCACCATCATGACCTCAGGTAAGCCCTCGTTGACTCTCAAGTGGATTCCAGCAGGGGCCTTTTCCAGACCCTTTTCTACCTTCTCCACACCAGCGTCCATGGTGCTCTTTCTACCCTAAATCTGATCCTGTTCTCCATGGTGAAAAGCTCTCTAACGCGTCACCTTCTACAGCAAAGCTTCCTGAATGGGTTACTCGTTCCCGAGATGGGAATTGCTTTGGGCCCCAAGCAGCCTCGCCAATTACCTTCCTATGTGTGTCTGAATATGGTCTTTCTGTATGTTCAGCAATGGGAAATGCTTTCAGAGTACTGCCCTCTGGGATAAACCTCAAACACCTGTGCCTGCCCTTTATGTGCATTCAGAAATGGCCCCACTGACCACATGGAACTATTTGCAGTTGTTGAAGAAGCCATACTTTTTCCTGCCAAAGTGCCTTTGTACCTGTGCCTGGAACCCTTCTGTCTGCTTTGCTCCAAGATGTTTCAGATATTCCCCCTCCCCAACCCAGCAAAGTGTACCCCACCTCCTTGAGCTGAATTCAGCTCGCCCTTCTTGCTTCCAGAGTGCCTGCGACTTACCTCTCGTAAAACTCCTGCCACATGGTATTCACTCCTTGCAGAGTGCATTGCGTGTTTCCCAGGGATGCCATGAACTTCCGAGAGCAGGGCCCATGTCTTATGCTCTGATCCACTATGTGTTACTACAGGATACAATAGGCCCTGACTCACATCTGCTGAACTCATGTGCTGTGACTGGTGCCTTCCCTGGGGCAGGGTGTTTGCTCTCCACCCTGCAGCATTCTTGGGTATGTTCTCTGGGCTGTCTCCCACCACCATGGGCCCTGCCAGGCAAGAACAACTTGATGTCCCCAAGGCCCCAGCACTCATGGGCCTGGCACACACTGAGCTCAATAAAATGTTACAATATTGAGTCTGCCCTTTCTGTGGCCCCAGAGTCCCATGGTGCTGTGGAGCCTGGGGCTGCCAGCCTCCTGTCAGTCAGTCTCTGGCCTTCTCTCACAGTTCCATGTCCCTGTCCTTCCTTCAGGGTCTGTGTCTGTAACTAGATATCATGGCCTCTGTTCCCGACTATCAGGGTGTCCATCTTCTTCCCTGTTTTCTCTGACGATCCCATTGCATGTGAGCCACTTGCAGAGCCCACTTTGTCACCACATACGTTTCTGCCCGTGTCTGTCGAAAGCAGGAGGAGGTCAGGAAGGAAAAAGGAGTCTATTAGGAGCCTACATGTGCTAGTCAATCTGCCAAATAATTTATATAAATCACCTCATGTAATCCTCATGCAACACAGCACAGAACGATCATCCCCATGTATAAAGGCAGGGACGAGGGGTTGGAGAATGTAAGTGACTGGCTGAGTTTACACCGGGGAGCACTCCACTTTGGGAGCACATACAAATACTCAGCAATGTCCATGAGCATCTCAATATGCAATAAACCAAGTAAAACCAACACATTGGATTTCTTTAAAATCCAGGCATATTTTTTGTTTATTTATTTATTTACTTTTTATCCTCACCTGAGGACATTTTTCCATTTTTTTTTGTTTAGACAGAGCGGGAGGGAGAGACATCGATGTGAAAGGGACACATTGAGTGGCTGCCTCCCGCCTGGCCCAACCAGGGCCGGGGACAAACTGCAACTGAGGTACGCGCCCTTAGTGGGAACCAAAGCCGGGTCTCTCTGGACTGAAGGCCAACACTCTAACTGCTGAGCCAAACCCGCCAGGGCTGTTTTTGAGTCAATTTTAGAACATTTCTGTCATCAGAAAAAGAAACCCTCTACCCATTAGCAGTCCCTTACCCCAGCCCTAGGCAACCATGAATCTACTTCTTGTCTCTTCTGGACATGTCCCTTAAATACATATGTGTCTGTACATTGCTGGCTTTTACTTAGCTTTTTTTTTTTAAATCCTCACCTGAAGATACGTTTTTGTTTTTGTTTTTAATCCTCACCTGAGGATATTTTTCCATTGCTTCTCAGACACATCGATCGGTTTTCTCTTGCATGACCCTGACCCAGGCTGGGGATCAAACTTGCAACCCAAGTATGTGCCCTTGACTGGAACTGAACCCACAACCCTTCGGTCCGTGGGCCAACACTCTAACCACTGAACCAAAGTTGCCAGGGCCCAAGGATATGTTTTTATTTATTTGAGAAAGAGAGAGGTGATGTGATGAAGAAACATTGATAAGCTGTCTCCCATATGCATTCCGCCTAGGGATCGAACCTGAGATCTTTTGGTGTGTAGGACAACACTTCAATCAACTGAGCCACACTTGCCAGGGCAACACTTCATTCCTTTATACGGCTGAATAATATTTCATGGTGTGGATAGACTACATTTGTTTATCGGTTCATCCATTGATGGACACTGAATAATGTTGCTATGAAGATTAGTATACAGCTTTCTGTGTGGCTGTATCTTTTCATTTCTCTGCTATACATGTAAGAGAATTGCTGGGTCATATGGAGCATGTGGAAGGGAGGAAGAGAGAGAGAGAAACACTGATGTGAGAGAGAGACATTGGTTACCACCCACATGACCCCAACCGGGCCGGGACGAACCCCAACTGAGACACGTGTCGTAGGCTAGAATCGAATCTGGAACTCTGGTCCAAGGGCCGGTGTTCTAACAGCTGAGCCAACTGGCCAGGGCTGTCTGTATTTTTTTATGTTAGCCATACTAGTGGAAGTGAAGTAGTATCTCATTGTTATTTTTTAATTTGACTGATTTTTTAAAATTCAATTTATTTAAGCTAAAAAAAAAAAAAAAGGTTTACTCATTTCTCCCACCCAACCCCCTGCCTGTGCGAGTTCTTTAGAAGAGATAGATCTAAAACAAGGATGTTGGAAGACTGAGGGCAAAGGCATATACTAAAGGATATTCAGGCAAGCATAAAGCTGAAGGGAGCCAGTGGAGCTGGCATTAAGCCAGGGAGCCAGACATTAACATGGCATGTGTTTTAACTTGTAGAATTTTACAAACACAAACTAGATGGATATAGAGATCTTGATTATGTTCATGGTTACATTTGTCAAACTCCATCAAGCACTTGAAAGGTATATTTTATATTGTATGTAAATGAAACCTCAATAAAGTTTATTTTTAAAGAATAAGCTTGTAGCCATTTAAATAGGAAATTGCTTCTTTGTGTGATAAAACAAAACACCAAATATTGGTAATTTCATGTAGTTCAATGTAATTAAATTGCCAGTATTTGATATATTTTTTTTAATCCTCAATATTTTTTTCTATTTATCTGCAGATAGAGTGGGAGGGAAATAGAGGGAGAAAGGGAGAGAGAAACATTAATGCAAGAGAGACACATTGGCTGGTTGCCTCCTGCACAACCCTGACCAGGGCCTGGGACAAACCGCAACTGATGTATGTGCCGTTGGCTGAAATCGAAACTGCGACTCATTGGTCCAAGGGCTGACGCTCTACCGCTGAACCAAACCGGCCAGGGCAGTATTTGATCTTTTTTATCCACAAAGAAGTAATTTTTATGATTCAAACTAATATAAACCTATTTTTAACAGCCTACTATGAAGCTATTGCTGTTTGCTCCTACAAAAATCAATGATAAATTTCACCTGAAGAAAGTAAAAGAGAACAAATTAATTCAGAAATAAGTAAAAGGAATAGTAATGAGACAAGTAGAGAGCAAAAAGAAAGGAGACTATAGAACAAAATTAGTAAAGCCACCCTGTCCGGGTAGGTCAGTTGATCGGAGCATCATCTCTATATGCCAAGGTTTCGAGCTTGATCCCCAGTCAGGGCACATACAGGAATCAACCAATGAATACATAAATAAGTGGAACAACAAATCAGTTTCTTATCCCTCCCTCCCTCTCTCTCTCAAAAAAAAAAAAAAAGGCAAAGCTAAGTTCATTTTTTTTGTTGTTGTTGTTCAGATAGAGCGGGAGGGAGAGAGAGGAAGAGAGAGAGAGAGAAACATCGATGTGAAGGAACACATCGAGTGGCTGCCACCCGCACGACCAACCAGGGCCGGGGACAAACTGCAACCAAGGTACGTGCCCTTAGCAGGAACCGAACCCGGGTCTCTCTGTACCGCAGGCCGACGCTCCAACCGCTGAGCCAAACCGGCCAGGGCTAAGTTCATTTTTTAAAAGATTAATAAATCCCCAGCTAGACAGGCAGAGAGTGGGTGTGGGGTAGAAGAGACATCAGGCATGAAAGATGTCATCACTACAGGCCTTAGAGGCATTCAGAGAATACAGGAATATGTACATTGGACCAATCACACAGGAGAAATGGGCAAATTCCTTGAAGACAGAGTTTATCAAGTATTAGTTGATAATACGAATATACACCTACTGCATGCCACTACCTGGAGGGTCTAAATCCAGGCAGGGGCTGGGCAAGGGTTCAGGAGGGTGCCCAGTGGGGTAATGGGAGCTCAGATCCCAGGGCCAGTGAGAAAGAACAGAGGAGTACCATCCCTCCCTGAACTTCAAGCTCCCAGTGGGGGGACCTGGCCTTTGACTGGGGACACAGTTCAGCACCATTACCTGGTGGTCACTCAGACCACAGGACAGAACTACAACAAGCAACCTCTGTAAAATGCCTCCTGGTGTGGGGACTGATCTGGTCAAGGCTGGAGGGTTTGGGTGTGTCTGGAGCCTCAAGCTACCCACACTAGCTGGGGCCCAGCAGCCTGGGGAGGGTGGCATCTTGGTGGAAGAAAAGGGTCTTGAAAGCCCTGGCCAGTTTGGCTCAGCGGTTAGAGCGTCGGCCTGCGGTCCGGAGAGACCCGGGCGCGTACCTTGGTTGCAGTTTGTCCCCGGCCCTGGTTGGGTCGTGTGGGTGGCGACCACTCGATGTGTCGCTTTCACGTCGATGTTACTCTCTCTCTCTCTCTCTCTCTCCCTCCCACTCTATCTGTACAAAAAATGGAAAAATGTCCTCAGGTGAGGATAAAAAAAAAAAAAAAACGGCCAGGGCGCAAAAGACACGTTTTAAAGTCTGTCATCACATTTATTAATTAGTAGGAGGAATTAGGGAGAGCCCTCCTGCCCCTCCCCAGGGGAAGGGGGAGTCCAGCCTCCAGCTGCAGCAGAAAGGATCTGAGCCAAACTGCATCAGGATACCTTCAGCAGCCTGGGTCTGCAGCTGGATCAAGATCCTAGACAAATTTGACAGAAGAGAAATATCAGGAGAGGGAGGCACCGTATGTGCAATTAGGGCAGACCTCACTGGGGCCCCTCAGTAAGAAAGCAGCTTAGTCAGCTGCCAGCCAAGACACCCCCATACTCAGGCCTCCCTCCTGGTGCTCCAGCTGACCAAGCCATCTCTGCCCCCATGTTGATTCCCTGCCTGCAGTTATCCACCACCCACAGCAGAAACTGGGCACACTAACCAATGTGCTGGGAACAGGCCTCAGGAAGGGCACCCCAGGCAGAGGGCACAGTCTGGGCATGAGGGGGACCCAGCCCTCAGAACCCAGGGGAACTTCACCTGCCACCTGGAGCTCCACGGGGTTGCTGAGCTCAGACACTAAAGGCCACCGGGAGCGGGAGCGGCAGCTGTAACTGCCCGCATGTTGAGGCCCGACATAGGTCAGCACAAGGTCCGTTGAGGGGTGATATGCTGAAGCCACCACTTCGCCTTCTCGCAGCAGCTCCAAGGTGAAGTAGGGCACGCTGCTCTCGCAGCGCAGGACAGCATCCTGGCCTGGACTCACTGCCCCACTCCACAGGGGCCGGAGCTGCGGCTTGGGGAGGGGTCCTGGGTGGAGCAAAGGGTCTGGCAAGTAAATCCATCGCCTCAAGCTGCAGCTGCAAGGCCCAGCCAAAGGTCAGGAGGCGGGACCTGTGCTCAAAAGGCCTCTGCCCCGTGGGGACGCTGATGAGGAAATCAGAGAGCAAACAGACCCCAGGGACCTCAAGAACTCAGAAGATTACATATTAACCCTCGGCCCCTGGGGCCTGGGGCCCAGGCAGGCGTGGGCTAATAATAAGACAACACGGGGAAACTAAGGCACGAGGAGTGTAAAACCGTCAGTGATTCAGCAACCTACACGCTCAGGTCCCAGGGAAATAAGCCAAATGCTAGGCACCCCCAGGACTTCCAACCGACGGCCAATTCTGCATTCCAGTACAGCCCTGGCCGGTTTCGCTCAGCGGTTAGGGCGTCGGCCTGCGGTCTGGAGAGACCCGGGTTCGGTTCCCACTAAGGGCACGTACCTCGGTTGCAGTTTGTCCCTGGCCCTGGTTGGGTCGTGTGGGTGGCAATCACTCCATGTGTTTCTTTCACGTCGATGTCTCTCTCTCTCTCTCTCCCTCCCTCCCTCCGCCCCTATCTGAACAAAATATCAAAAAATGTCCTCGGGTGAGGATTTAAAAAAAAAAAAAGAGTCGTCAGTACAGAGGCCCAGAGCGAATGGCTTTAACAGCAAAGACAAGTGGGCACCTCACTATGCAACGGGCGGGAGGAGGGAGGCCCCGTCCACTTACCGTCCACGTGCAGGTCCAGGTGCGCGCCAGGCACCGAGCCCGCGAAGGGCGGCGCTGTGTCCACGTAGATGCAGCTGTAGTTGGAAGAGTCTATCGGCGAAACATCGCGCAACTCGAATAGGGCCTCGGCGCCCGCGGGGCTCTGGAGATCGAGCACCTGGTATCCATCCCAGTAGCGCACCAGGGCGAAGCGCAGGCCGGCCCGGGGCGCGCGGCACCGCAGCTGCACCAGCGAGCCCACCGCGGGGCGCAGGGTCGCTGGCTCCGCCGAGAAGTCGGGCGCCGGCAGTGTCTCTGCAGGAGGACGCAGGTGACCGAGGCGCCGACAGAGGCTTGGGCCGCATTCGCGATCTTTGCCTCCGCGGAGCCTCCAGTCTGAAATAGTCCGCCCGGCTCCCTCCGCCTGCTCGAGGACGACCGACCGCCCAGACCACCCCAATGAAAGCCGCATCTCCCTCCAGCCCGCTGTCCTCATTGGATCTCCTGCACTCTTCCGTGTTAATATTTCCTTAAGAACAGACGAGGGGAGGGGGTCTTGTTTTGTCATCGAACCCCGGGCTCTGGCGGGGATCCTTTCCTGAGTTGACGTTCCCTGTCCGGGACCTGGACAGGTCCTGCAGCCCCAGCCTGACCGCCGTCTATTGGCAGCCTTCCTCGCGCACCTGCACCCGAGTCCACCGGCACCCAGGGGCTAGGGGGACCCGGGTACGTGGCTTCTGCTGAGCCTGTGCCACACTTGAGTGTTGACCCAATTATTCTTCTTGGGGCCTCGAGGTTGCTGAGCTCACTGTCTCATTCTCAACTGGGAAACTGAGGTCGGGCACATTAGTTGGGACTGGGCCTGACCCAGAGTCCTGCAGTCCCGGGGGACCTTCCCTGGGTGTCTCCCGCGCACCCCAGGGCACAGCGCCAGGCTCACCATCGCTCAGCAGCAGCTCCACGGGTTCACTGTCCGCGGACCAGGGCATTTGCTCGCCACGCAGGTGGTAGCGGCAGGTGTAGAGGCCGCCATCTCCTGGGGCCATCCATTTCAGGTCAAAGAAGACTCGGTCAGGGCTGCTGCTCCAACGGTTTATGAGCAGCTCCTTGTCTCCGCGCCGCAGCTGGAACACCGCGCCCTCCAGGGGCGCCACGCAGCTGAGGGAGCCTTTCCTTCCAAGGAGCAGGACAGCGGCAGACTTTCCCTCGACCGTTAGCCTGGGTGGTGGCGGCGTGGCTACAAGGCAGGAAGGGAAGCTGGATCGGTGAAGTCCCCACTGTCCCCTGAGAAAGCCCTGCCCTCCCTGTAGCAGCCCAGGCCTCCCCACTGCACAGCGGGGTGGTGCTCAGGCCTGCTGTGATCCAGACAACTGTTTCCCAGGCCCAGTTCCGGGCAGCGGTCAAGGTAAAGGCAGCTCTGTCCTCCAGGAACCTCCTCCCCCAGGAAGCCCTTCAGATACATCATGCACTCACCCATCTCCTGGATGGTCACAGTGGCACTGGGCTCAGAGGGAGTGCCTGCTGCATGGGTCCGGTAGCTGCAACTGTAGTTGCCAGCCTGGTGGACTGGGAAGGTGGCCTCCACAGCCTCAGGGGCCTCAACCACCTTCAGAAACTGGTCATCTCCATCCCGTCTCAGCAAGAAGGTCACACCCCGAATTCCCCCTCGGCACAGCAGGGTCGGGGTCAGGCCCGGTGTAATCCAGGACACTGGTTTACTTGAGAGCAGGGGTGGAGGCAGGGTCTCTGCGGGTGGGGCAGGGTTGATGGTTCAGCATGACTTAGGAGATATGATGGCCCAGCGGACCCGGACTAACACGCTCATGAGGATGTGAGGGAGCTAGGGAGATGGACGGGGCCATAAAACAAAAGGAAAATGTGCAATTGTGCCGGGCCCTCCTGTGTGCCAGGCCTGACCTAAGCACTATCTGGGGACTCAGTCATTTGTTCCTCACAACCTTCCAGAGTCAGTACAAAAATCACCCTCATTTTACAGACGGGGAAACAGGCACAGAAATGTCAGGTGATATGCCCAAAGTCCCCTAGCCGCTGAGGGGGAGGAGGCAGAAGAGGAGGACAAGGAGAGTGAGGAGTGGAGGAAGGGAGGCCTCTCCAGCAGCAGTCCCCCACCACCCCCAGCTGCTCACCTGCCCCAGTGACCTCCAACAGGTTGCTCAGCCCCGTCCATCTACTGCCCATAGCATAGCAGCAGCGGTAGCGGCCCCGATTGTCACTAGTCACTGCTCCTAGTGGGAAGCGATACTCTTTGGCATCTATGTCAGTGTGCACAATTTCCTGTAGCACCCCATCCTTGAACAGCTGAAAGTCCTTGGTGACCAGCTGGGCCCGGCATGTCAAGGTCAAGTTGGCCCAGGGTTCCAGCAGCGATTCAGCCTCTGCCCACAGGTCTGGCGTGGTGTCAAAAACTGCATGGGGGCAAGGGTCAGAGCCAGGCACGAGGACATGGGCACCCCCCATGTGTGCATATGTGCATGCACCCACCACCTCCAAGTCCCACGGGCACCCAACGTCTCCAAGTCCCAAGTGCTTGCACCACCACTAGACCAGCCCCGACCCTCCATCCCAGACCCGGGCCTGACTCACATGTGGCCGCTTCTGCCGCTGGGCTCAGGGAGACACCTGTGGAGACATGCCTGTGAGGCCCCGTGCCTGCCCCTTCCTGCCCCTGCACCCCAGAGGACCCAGGCCCAGGAGACCTCACCCCAGAGCAGCAGGAAGGCCACCAGCATGGACATGGTGGTCAGCCTTGCTCCAGCCTGGTGAGTGAGGTAATAAAGCCTGAGTGAGGGCAGCAGTGGGTGGAGTAGGACACTGACCTCTTACTGCTGTTTGTCCCTTCTGGAAGGCCAGCTGTGCACACGTGTGTGTGTGTGTGTGTGTGTGTGTGTGTGTCTTCAGAGGATGGTGACAAGGGTGAATCCCCGTGGCTTCAGGAACCTCAGCAATAATAATTAATATGCACAAAAAAGAACTAAATTAAAAATAAAGAATGACCCTGGCCCTGGCTGGTATGGCTCAGCGGTAAGAGTGTTGCCCATGGACCAGAGTCCTGGGTTCGATTTTAGCCAAGGGCACATACCTCGGTTGCGCTTCGTCTCCGGTCCCGGTGGGGGTTGTGCAGGTGGCAATCTATCAATGTGTCTCTCTCATGCCGATGTTGCTCGCTCTCTCCCTTCCACTCTATCTGAAAATAAATTTAAAAATATCCTCAGGTGAGGAAATAAATAAATAAATAAATAAAAAGAATAGCCCTGGTTGATTTGGCTCAGTGGTTAGAGCATCAACCCATGGACCAAAGGGCCCCAGGTTTGATTCCTAGTCAAGGGCACGTACCTTGGTTGCATGTTCGATCCCCAGTCCCAGCTGGGGTCGTGCGGAGGCAACCAACTGATGTGTGTCTCTCACATTAATGTTTCTCTCTCTCTCTCTCTCTCTCTCTCTCTCTCTAAGCGATTTCTCTCTTCATTATACCCCAGTGCAAACACATGTGTGACAAGCCGGGTGGAATTCACCTGCATCTGAATTCCTATAGGTAGCATCACAGGCTGCCTGGAGGAAAATCCTGGCTCTTCCCAGAGCTGTAGTTCGTTTTCTTTTCCAACACTGTTTAATTCTGCCCTGTATGACCCACCGTGGGTTTGTAGTCGAATTTGTATCCAGACCTGTGCTTCTGACCCTGGCCCTGGGCCAGTGCTCAGGTTGTGGACGTGTGTCTGAGCTGCCCTGGTCACTTGTGTGGCAGCAACCCCTGCAAAGAAGCCAGGCCTCCCCTCTCCCCCTAGACTCCCTGTCCCCCTACAGCACAGCCTGATGGGATAGAATGGAAGGGGTGAGAATGTGGCCTCCTCACTCTGGATCTCTGAGGAAGTACTTTCATTCCACCCTGAAGATCTGGTCCCCACCCTGGGTGTCCAGGTTCCAGCTTTCCAGCCAGGTTGAGGGCCCACAAAACCTCCCACCTGACCATGACTTCTTCATCACCCATTCATACCACAAGCATGTTTTGAGCACCTCCTGTGTGCCTGACAGAAAGAAGACAGTGGGATAGGGTGGACCCAGGCCCTGCCCACATGAAGCCCAGGCTGGTCAGGGATACAAAGGCAGAGAGTTGGCACTGGGAAGAACAGAGAGCGGAGCCAGGCCAGGAGGTGGAGTCCTGAGAACACCTGGTGGAGAAGCATTGTGGGCAGAGGAAACTGCCAATGCAAAGGCTGAGGCAGGACGGGCACTAAGGCAGCCAGTATGGCAGGGATGGGGAAGGGGCAGAGGGGTGGTGGGAGAGCTCAGAGCTGTCCTGGGTCTCCAGTCACACTCTGCCTCCTGATGAGAGGGATTCCCAACAATGTCTGGTTTCCTTTCCACATTTGCTGAGCACACCTGCTCTGAGCCAACAAATTCCAGGTGGGGCTGGGAGGTCTCAGGCATTCCTTGCAGAAGGGACCACTGAGTGCCAAGGCCTGAAGCATCCAGAAAAAGACTGGCGGCCAGGCCCTGGCCGGTTTGGCTCAGCAGTTAGAGCGTCAGCCTGCGGTCCAGATGAGACCCAGGTTCAGTTCCTGCTAAGGGCACATACCTCAGTTGCAGTTTGTCCCCGGCCCTGGTTGGGTCATGTGGGTGGCGACCACTTGATGTGTCTCTTTCACGTCGATGTTTCTCTCTCTCTCCCTCCCACTCTATCTGAACAAAAAATGGAAAAATATCCTCAGAAAAATGTCCTCAGGTGAGGATTAAAAAAAAAAAAAGACTGGTGGCCAGAGCAGGAACCACCGAACACTGGCTCAGTGGTCTGCAGGGCCACCCAGGAGGGCAGGGGCACGGTCAGGTCAGAGGTCTGCAGAGATGAGGTTGAAAGCTGAGAGCACCCCCAACACCAGCCCTGGTTCCCCCAGCCCTATGGTTAATAGCAGGTTCAAGTGGCAATGCAGTTTGAGACTGAAGGTGCGAGACGGGCAAAGCAGGAGGCAGGCACTCATGCCACCTTCTCAGAACGGGGGTGTAACCAACCAGAAGATGACAGGGTGACTCAAGCTTAGCTGAGCCAACACCTGTGCTGCCATGTCATAGGGACCACCATACCCTGTGTCACCTCAGTTTGTGCAACACCACACGTCTGCTGTGTGAGCCTTGCAAGTCCTGCCTAACCTATCTCAGATGTAATCCCGTTTGAAATATTATCTAGTGTAGTTCCTGTTTGTTTGGTGTTTAGTCTGGACTGACTGATGTGGTACTTGATGTCTAGAGGGGTCCCAAGAAATGGACCCTCAAAGTTAGGATTCTAGGTTTGATTTGGTTCTTTTTTTTTTTTTTATCCTCAACCAAGGACCTTTTTTTTTGCATTTATCTTCAGACAGGGCGAGAGGGAGAGAGGGAGGAAGAGCGAGAGAGAAACACTGATGTGAGAGAGACACACTGACTGGTGGCCACCTGCATCACCCCAACAGGGATCGGGGACGAACTGCAACCGAGGAATGTGCCCTTAGTAGGAACCGAACCTGGGCTTCTCTGATCCACAGGCTGACGCTCTAATCGCTGAGCCAAACTGGCCAGGGTTGATTTGGTTCTTGAGCACAGTGCTGAGCACCTTGCCAACAGAGTAGAGGACATGGTAAGGAGGGGCATCTAATAAATTATTGCCTGTAGATGCTTGAAATGAGGTGCCGACTGAAGCCGGTACCTTGGGAAACCACTGCTTGAGCAGTTGATGCCAACAATGGTTACCTTATGGATTGTAGGGTGGGCTGGCTGTTTATGACCATTCAGAAGTTGTAGAGCCCTGGCCGGTTTGGCTCAGCGGTTGGAGCGTCGGCCTGCGGTACAGACAGAAGTTGTAGAAAGAAAATAACATGCTCAGGGCTCTAAATCTTTAGCTGAAGACACAGAGAATCAGAGAGCTTCAAGTGTGGCCCTAAGGGAATTTCTGGCTGTAGCCAAAGGGCAAATACAGCTGAAGCTTAAATACAAAATTTAATTTTGTGTATTTCAGAAGTACACTGTGCATCAAATCCATAGATCCATGAAGTGTCATGTGTGAGAAGTAGGGCATTGCCTGAGAAGGAGGAGGACGCTGAGGCTTGGAACCGGGATGACTGGGTGGATTCAGATGAAACTGGAACTCTTGTGACACTTGTACCAGGAACTGAGTTGACTTGTTCCGGGTATGATGACACATGTACTACAGCTGCTGCAATTGAACTTGGCACCTGGGAAGCTAACACTAAACCCTTCTCCAGTATCCATCTGCCTTCCACACAGGCCAGACAGGAGAGGTGAGCGGGGAGTCCTCCCTGATGGCACTACCTCTGCAGTTCCCCCAACAGTGAGCTGATGCTTCTGCTTTGCCATCTTGGCAGAGAGAGGATGTTCCAGGGGCTTCTGCTTGGACCTTCCTATCCTAAGGGTCCTCACCCTATGGGGAGAAGAGCCGACATGGGGATTCTGCCAGCTGCTAAGAATGTCCCTCTCAATTATTTACCCAGGAACTGAGGAACGACCAGATGGGTGTGCACAGGCAGTGAGCCCACCAGGCTAAAATTGAGCTAAAATTGGCTTTGTCACCTGACAACGTGAAACTCTACTTCGCGCAGTGTTTGGGGATTGGCCTCTACTCGGAGCCAGTTTCTCTCGATTCCTGAAAGATCTGGGTATGTCCTTCCCCGCAGTACAATGGCCAGGACCGTTGAGGAAGATCTGTCTATGCTTGTCAGATGGCTGGTCCCTCCACACGTGGCATCAGCCTCCCTCCAGTTCACCTGCACTGCATCTGGGAATGACCTAGGTCTGGAATCAGGGTGACATAATGTGAGTCTTCATTGTGACACAAGTCAGGCTTCTGAACACTAGATCTGGAGGTCTTCTGGTCGCACAGGTCAAACACCTTTTTAGTAAGCTGCCCATCCATTTCATTCCTAAGGACACTCTGACAATTGGCCACCACTTGAAGACCCGCCTCTCCCTGGACAGTGAATCACCTCCCTACCACCTGTCCCCAGGCAGGTCCGGGGTCACCAGTGGAGCTGGGGTCCTACGGAGTGTCTCCAGCTACGATCTCGACCGTCAATGCGGCCCCTGCGCTCCCAGCACGTGCAGCCCGCGTGGGGGTGCTCATCCTGGTTCATCCGTCGGTGTCCTGAGCCCAAGGCCACTCAGGGTACCCCCATTCACAACCTGCCCTTCGGGGTCTCCCTGGGCCAGGGCGCAGCACCGGCCGCTTCTGGTGCTCTCGAGGAAGGAGCGCGCCCGCACTGGGCGCACGTATCGGGGGCTCACGGGTGTGCGAGCGCCTGTGGCGCCTGAGGCTGCAGCTGCGCACCAAGGCCTTGCCGCCCTCGCGGCAGATGTAGGGCTTCTCTCCGGAGGCAGGTGCTCGGGTTGGCGCAGCTCAGAGCAGCCGCGGAAGGCCTTGCCGCACCCCGGGCACGCGTACGGCTTTTCGCCCGTGTGCACGCGCCCGTGCTCCCCCAGGTGAGAGATCAGGCCAGAGGCCTGCGCGCATTCGGTGCATTCCTAGGGTTTCTCCCCAGCCTCCCGCACCCCCTCGCCACAGTCCCCGCAGAGTCGGCACCGCAGCTGGAAAGACCTCGTCGCCGGAGCCAGGCCTTGGCGGTGGCGGCCGGAGCAGCGCGCAAAGGCCTTGCCGCACTCGCCTTACGCGTGCAGCCGCTGGGCTGGGGTGGGCACTGGGGCAAGGACCAGAGGCCAGGCCGCACGGAGAACACAGCAAGGGGCCCATAGCCAC